TTCTATAATAGCCGGAGTTTTAAATATCGGGCTTTTGCACGATATTTATTGTTGGGGCCGACTTTCGGTAACAGACTTTTTTAATTATTAAATTTTTCCCAATATTTTCATTGGTTTTCTGTTTGATAATCGATGAAAGTAAACAAAACAAAAATTATTTGTTAATAATAATCGCTGAACTCTGTTGGCAAATGAATGCAAAAAGACAACCGCAAAGTTAATATCCACAGATAATATGAAAGCAAGCAATATGGCAGCGAGAATTTATTCACCAAAGAGTCTCTGTGTAATTACAATTATTTTAATTTATTGTTTGCGAAGTAGTTTTTGTAGCCAGAAAGCGACAACATTTTGCACATCCGGTGACTGTTGGAATCGTGATAATGACAATGAAAAAACCTTATCACGAAAGAAACGCAGCTTAACATTCCCTGAGGGTAGTTCATTGCAACTTGGTAAGTATCTATTCGAAAAACTGCCTGTTACGATATTTTCTATGCTTTCCAAAGGCAAAGCCAACTTATTGATTTCTTCATTCAACTCTTCTCAACATCAGTGAAAACTATCCCGTGTCTGTCGTGTTAAAATGAAGTTAGGAATAAATTGAATTTGAATCATTTCAGATCACTTTATAGGGGATAGAGAAACGGAGAAATGTCGTCTAGAATTTTCACTCAGTGACTTCTGATTAAATTATGCGAATGTTCTCATGTTTCAGTATTCCGATTGAAAAGGAAGTTCAAATTGACAAGTTTCCGTCTTTTTTTTTAAATTTTTCAATTTCATAAAAGGATGTCTTCTTCCCTTTCATTCCTGTGTTAAGTGAAAGCGGGAATATTTAACATAAATATCACCATGTTGACAAAATAGAAAAAGCGTTAAAATGCTCAGTAAATGTTTTATCTAGATATCCAATTATGATGTTTTCAAATCGTAGGAATATCGTATATTTAATAAATTTCCATCAAAAGAAGTTTCTCCGGTACTGATCATGAAAATTTAACAACATTAAAACATTCCAAAATGCTTTCCACACAAAATTACATAAAGAAAATGTCACATGACATCACATAAACATATTCAACATTAACATGAAAAATAAGAAGAAGTGAATTGTGTAATTATTTAATATTTAATTCACATTCCACTCCCTTGATATAAAAGCTCCACATCGTGCAGAAAGGGAAATTTTCTCTCGCAAAATATTTCAAACATTAAAGAAATTTCTCTTTGTGCTTTTTGAATATTTCATTTGTCTCTTGGTGCCTTGCGGCTGTGAGAAGGCGACAGAAACATGAAGATAAAGTAAAAAGGGATTTTTTATGAGATAAAGAGTTTAGTTAAGCTGCAAATAAATGCTTTTAAACCTTGGAAAAAGCCCATTTATGAAATATTTAATTTGCATTATGGACATGTTTCTGAAGTTCAGAAGTAAAATGGAAATTTGAGAATGACAAAGTAGTAGGAGAGGTTTAAAAATATGCATAAATGAATCTTTTATCATTCAGTCCTTTCTTCAAAATTTCTTTAGAAACATTTTCAGTTCATTGAAAAATATAAACGAACTTTCATTTCTTTTTTATTTTAGTTTATGATGAGACTCTTCCAATTGTTGCAGCTCAGCTTCTTTTTACTGTAGGTGTAACAAGTGCATTGGCTTTTGAACTTCCAAGCGAACCAATTTATCATATAACAGAAAAACTACGAGATAGATTGGTAGGTGCCGAAGAAGATTACGAAGATGATGATGACGATAATAATGACGAAACAACAACAATGGCATCAAATTCAGATGACACTGATAACTCAAGACGTAAAGATAAGAATCGCAATCAATTACATTATATCGATTACAAACAGAAGAACTATTATGATTCAATGAACAAGCATCGCTACTATTATTCCCAGAACTACAATAATAACAAATATTATCACATCCCTTCATCACCGAACTATTATTTCAACGATAGATTAGACAACTACACCATGAATTTTAACAACAAATTCAATCAACAGCTTCAATCGCCTATTTTTGTTACCACAAAACCAAAAAACAAAACCAAAAATGTTTGGAGTAAAGTCATGAATAAGTCAGTGAGAATTGACTTTTCGTCTTTCAAAATTTCTATAACTTTTCATGTTTGTTACAGATTTGTTAATGAATTCGGACAAAAAGTTCTCACAAAAAAGTTGAATGTATCAAAAAAGAAAAAGAAACTTGGAAATCTTTTTCTAAGAAATCATCATCGAGTGTATCCTGTGTTTGGTAAACGAAGTGTTGACGATCAATTGACTGATGAAGATAAGTTCTATATTGAACATCATCGGACCACAAGGTTTAATTTGTATAAGAAAATTGAAGGCTTTCTTATAGCGTAAGTGTTTGAATGAAAGAATTTATGCTTAAAGCCATGTTCATTAAAACAGAAAATCCTTGTTTTGATTCTTAATACAACAAAGGAGAGGGAAAAATGGAAGTGCTTGTGTCCTGAGGGCACTTTGTGAAACTGCACAGAAAAATCAAAGAAAGGACAAAGCATCTTTCTTGTTGGAGATACTTCGAGCTGTCTTCAGTTTACCTCATCAAGTTGAACCTTACCAAGACTCTTCTCACAAGCAATTTGACGATGCACACTTCTATCTTCAAAGAGATTGCAGTCAAGTATTCTCAGAATGTACTGACAGCATATGGTCACCAAAATTTAATTTCTAAAATAATTTTCATCAAATGAACAATATTTGTGTAGTGTTGACGCTAACGAAATAAAAAACGTTTTTGTTTAAATTTTTTATTGATTAGGAAAAATAATAATTTTGAAGATTTTTTATAATTCTAAACAATTCAACACACCTGTGTAAACTTTTCTCATTTCTTCGATATATTCGCTTGTATGATTTTTATCATCAATTTTTTCAATATCCGAAGCAATGATTGCTTTCATGTAATAATTTTCAGTATGGAGAATGTCAGCAATACATTCGGAACATTTCCTTGAGAGATTTTCGGGTTCTAATCCAAATTCTTTTTCAATTTGTGTTTCAAACTCGTCTCTCTTACTTTCAATAAAAAACTCGCAATTTGAGGTACTCAAAGAAATATTATTAGATGGTTCGAGTGACAAAGCAGTTAAGTTGAAACAATCATTTATTTTCGGATAAAGACTTCGTCTGTTTCTCATGTCAACTACAACTGGATAAAGTTTATCAAACAAATTATTTAAAATTTCATTGCTTGCACAAATTTTAAGAGAAATTTCGAAACTTCTGTTAATGACATTGTTGATAGTTGATATTCTTCTTTGTCTTTTTCGTTTTGGAATTATAAGAGCTTTTTCATAGTAATATTTCTTTAAAAAAACTTCACCTAATTGAAACTCTTTCAAACGCTCAATCATGCAATCGGTGAAAGGAAGGTGATCTTTATCACTTTTAATTTCTTCAGCTAAATCTTGATAAATGCGTTCAAGCTTTTTCTGCATTTCTACTAAGCATACGGAGTCTTCTGAATTTATTTTAAATCCAATAATCTCAGGTCCGGTGTAGCTGCCCTCAAGTAACTCTCGATTGCGTAAGTAATTAACTAAGCATTTCATTTCTATATTTTCAATTTGCGAAGACTTCAGGCATATTAAATGCGAAGAGATAACCAGGAAAGCAATAAAATATCTCCTTGACAAAAACAGAAAGTCATAAAATAATCTAAGGAAAATAAAATAATATAAAGACTCACATTTTGTAATCGAAAATGAATTTATTCGACCTCAACTGTAGGTAATTCTAAAGCTTACTGAATTAATATTTAAGAATTTATTTGTGAATTTTTCAGAATATATGAAACTTATCTTATCAGTTTGTTTTTGACATTTGAACTTGAATTATGTAAACAGAGACAATTAAAGTAAAAAATCATTTAATTCTCGTTTCTTTCCTCATTTCCATGTTGTGCTTTTGATGTAAATATTGCTTTCTTTTCAAGAAATCCCTTGAGCTGGAGATCTGCTTACTTTTAGAATCCCAATTGATCAATGATGCAATCAGTAATTGATTTGATGAATTAGCTTGTATAAAGTTCATACCAAACAATTCAAAGATTATTTCATTCCACATAATTCAAGAGTACATAATTTTAATGCAAACTGGTATTGAAATTAAAATGTTGATTTATACGTTCTTCAACGAAAGCTTATGAAATTCGTCTTATCAGTTTATTTCTTTTTTATTTCTTTTTTCGACACGACATTTTGAACTTAAATAATTCTGTGAATAATAACAATCCAAATACATGCGAAAAAGAAATTAAAACGATCAAAGTAGATTTGATTAATAATTGCACTTCATTAGCTTCGAGTACATTTGATCCATTGCTGTAACATATTTTGCTCGTTCTTTTGCCCTTTCGTCAGCGGTAACTCCAATTTCTCCAAGTATAGCAGCAAATAAATTGTGTTCTAAACTTTTTGTGCTTCTAATTGCATTTGTGACGCAAGTTTTAGTATTTTTTGGACTTTTTCTCATTTCCATTTGCAGTTCCTCTTCAAAAGCTTCTTCGAATGCGTCAAGGGCGATTTTATATTCATCGTCACAGTTTATTTGAGAAATGTCGATATTTTTAGGATTCATATCGATGACGTAAGCCGTTTTGTTGTAGAAATTTGTGTCGCTTAAATGTTTTTTAAGACAATAATCTGACTCAGCACTGTCCTCATCAGAAGTTTGATTTGCGCTGTTGTAAAGTTCATCAAAAAATTCTCCAAAAATATCTTCGGGTGAACAGATCTTTAAAGAAATTTCCAACTGTTTATCAATTGAAAATTCGATTGACTTCAATTTATTTTTGCGCTTTCTTTTTGAAATAGTTTTTGAGCCCTCATAAAAAAGTTTCTGCAGCTGAAGATCTCCGTATTTCAAAACTTTCAATTGATCAATGATACAATCAGCAATTTCAGCTGTTTCATGTTCATTTCTTAAAAGTCTCAATAATTCATCATACATGTTGTTATTGAATGACTCAATTCGTTCATTACAAGTTGCGTCGGGTTCATTAAATTGTGTCTTTCTTGCCTTGAATCCTCTAAAGCCACCTATAATTATTTGATTTTCATGTAAATAATTAAGCAAACACGTTGGATTGATATCTGAATCTGCAGTTATGTATGCTACCGTAAAAATAAGGCAAAAGATAATTTGCCATCTGTTTAATGAAAAACAATTCTTGTAATTGATAGTGCTTATTAAATATGAGATGAACTTACTGTAAAATCATTTTTAAGCAGTTGTCTGTTCAGTTCGAGAGTCTTCAGAAAACTGAAATAGAAATCATCATCCACTCATTTTTTTTAAATTGATAATCAGTGTCTTATCATCTATGACCAGGATTTATTTTGAAAGTTGCAAGAAATGTCACAAGAGGTGACTTAATGTTTATAAACAGCCATAAATCTCTTTATTTGTATTTGAAATGATGAAATTACCGTAATCTTCTATTTTTAAGATTATGTTTTCATCAAATAATTCTTTCTTTACAAATAATTAGAACTCTATCTTCGCTTTCGCTTGAATTGCTTCAAATACTTGATAATCTACACTTTCTTCAGTTGTCTCGTCGTCATTTAATCCTAGAATACCAAGTGGTTCAATAAATAGAAAAACTCTAAAATACATCTGTAATGCATTCTTTAGATTTTTCTGAAATACAATTTATTTGCAATTGTTCCGTTACCGATTTTGCAAAAATGTCAACAGAAGTTAATATTCTGTAAATTGTTTTAAACGGCAACGAATTCTCATTCTACGAATCCGCCATTTTTAAATACCCTCGTATAAAATACGAATGAGAAATCATGAATGAAACATGTGGAAAATGAAATACTAGGTGTTCCACTTCTACTACTTTTACGATAGGAGGTCAATAACCTTATCCCCAAATGCTCCATTTAAATTTTAAATCTCTCAGAATTTTATAATTAAATACAAATGTATTAATAAAATTTATGTAAATTCTAATCTTAAGTTAAAAAAGTATGAAATTTTCAAAAGAGTTGAATTTATGTTGTTATATCAGAATTTTGCACTTAATCGCTACTAATTTCTTCTTTATTGATAAAATACTAAAGTGCAGGTAAACTTGGATAAATTCAAAAGAAAATAAATTAAATAGATTATTCTCTTCTAACTTTCAAACGTTTTAAGAAAAAAGAATTTGAACTATTTTCTTCGCTCCAAATCAAACCAAACACAATCCACTTATCAAGACGTTGTCAAAAATTATGAAAGCATATTAAGAAGTAGAAGCAGTAGAGAGTCAGTTACCTATGAATAGTTGGAATGAAAGGTATCAAATATTAATTTGAAATCGTTTCAGTAGCCAGTAGGCACGTATTCGTATTGCAAACATCGATTCAAGGAAATTTCTTAAGAAATGTAATAAAAATAGCTTTAATCATTTGCTGTCAAGTCAGTCTTCCCTCTCTAAAATTTTTCGCAAAATAAAGTGATGTGTGGGCGTGATTTGAATAATTTGTGAGAGGTGGCAGTTTAATTTTTCGCTTTGCTGGATAAAAAGGAGAAAATAAAATAACGACAACAAGAAAGCATGAAGAGTTCTCATTCTACTATTTATCAGAAGAGAAGACAAGTTGGAAGATATTGTGGGAGGAAAATAAAATAAGAAAGTAAACGAAGACATTCGATAAGCGAATTGAAGAAATTCAATATCTGAAAATTCCGACTGCTGACAAATGTGAAATTTCGTGATTAATAGGAAAACAATAAAGTGATATTGCTTTATGATCCTATTTAACACAACAATTTTCTTTGTTTCAAGACTTTTTATGTCTAAGTGGAATAACTTCACAAAAAAATGAATGAAAATTTATTTTAGTGTCAAGTAAAATGTGAGAAACTTGAATAAAACTTCGTTCTCGTCTTGAAATAAAATTTGATTCCCTCTTGTAACAGTAGAAGTAGAAAGAAAGACAAAGAAAAGTTAAAGTTAATCAATCAAAATGAGAAATAAATTCTTGAATTTTACAATTTGTCAAATATTCATTATAATTGAAGTGTCGCTGCAATGTGTAATGTGTCAAGGGCGGCAAGAGAATTCACCAGCACAGAATGTTTCATACTATGAACGATCGTTTAAAAAAGTTTTATCACGACGTAAGCGTTTTTTAGTTTGGCGACCAGGTAGTAATGTTTTGGTAAGCTTTGAGAATGTACAAGTAGAAATGATTCAATTAAATAATTTCGTACACAGTTAACAAGTTCACTTGCTAAACCTTTAGCTTTTGAAAAGCCCACTGGACATAATTACATTATGGAGTGGGATATTTTTTTTCCACTTCCGACAAGTTGGAGAGTCCCAACAAAAAAACCAAAAACAACAACACCACCACCGACAGAAGAAACCACTCTTGAGGTCACACATTCTTGGGATCCACATTCTGACTCAACTGGGGAGATTTGGATGCCATCATCTGGTTGGGCGCCGGGTACTGACGTAATAAAAGCAATTTCCCACGGAAAAGAAGCTGACAAGAGGTTGTGGAATTCTCCATGGGTTAGAGTTCATTTTTCTTTCATTCTTCCATTTGCAAGGAGTGAAAAGTTCACACAAGATTCCATTTTGTTAATTTAGCAGCAACAACAAACATTGAGAGAAAGCAATTGGAATGACAATAATTTATTCCGACTTCCTTCTTCGCTACCAGTTACACAATTTAAAAATCCATTACTTCATAACAAAACACCATGGCAACAAACTCTTCAACAAATGACATTTAATCGAAACGACAGAACTAATTTCAATCACCAACATTACCAATCGAACCGTCAACCGCTGTCATCAAATGTTGAAAGGAATTTTATTGGCATCGATAAACAGCAGCAACGAAGACGTTTTATAACAAAAGGTCGTTCGCTTGAAACATTGAGTGATTTTCGAGCTATGAAGAAACGGGAAGTGGAAGAGTCAATAGAAGATGACGATGACTATTGGGAACATCATCATGCCCATCGTGATAGACGAGAATTGTATAACCTTGTTGAATCCACTTCACCGTTGTAAGTAATTGAAAGCCCTTCTGATGCGCATAAACAATGAAAAGTATTCTTATCTACAGTAAAAAGAAAACATAAAAATCTAATATAAATTTAAAAACAAAGTCATTAAAGTCAGGTTGAAGAAATCACAATGTGGTTATCATGGTAATGTAGAGGGGGGAAAGCTCTAATCTAAATGATATTAATTGCATGTCAACGAGGGGATTATCGCATTATTCCCTCCAGTTTGTGAATAGTTTTCACAATACTTTGTTTGTTATTGCGAAAAGTTTTCACCAGTAAACTCTCTATCCCTATTCCATTTATCATTATTGCACCTGGACTTCGTTTTGTGGATTCACATAAACTCTCATCTTTTGAATAATGTTTTTCGAGTGTTAATTTTCATAATTTTCGTACTCTTTCATCCAAAGTGCCGCTGGGAATGAAAAAAAAAACAATGGAACGGTAAAACCAGCATGAGATAATGGGGCTCAAAAGACTCTTTCAAAAAAAAAAAAAGTTGGGAGAGTCGAAGAAGTCAGAAAAGTCTTTCATAATTTATCATCAAATTATAATTTTCAAGAGTCATTCCGGATGGAATGAAAATGGTGAAAACGAAGAAAAAGAAAACCAGATGAAAACATAAATTAACTTCCTGACTGTGAAATCAGACACACACTGTGGGATTGGGACACGTCCCATCATTCATTTCTCATCCTTTTATTTTATTTCCTGTTGTATCGCTTAGAGTATTCTCGTGTCTTATCTAAAGACCATCATATTTATCCCTCCGTTCTCTCTTAACATTTACAGTAGCACTTGTAGTCGTAATTCACCCTTGACAATTTATTACACAAATTAATTATTTCAACAAGGATTATTTAAGGTCCGCTAGTTGAATTTAATTAAAGTTGAAATGAGAATATAAAAAAAGGAAATGATTAGAATTTCTAATTCAAGAACATGATAAAGCAAAAAGAAATCAATAAGGCGCGTCGTTGTTGTTTACATTTAAGAGTCTTAATAATAAACTACGCCGCTTTTATCTTCCTTGCTTTCTAATTAAACAATTTATTCAATTGTTGCTTGTTATCAAGTGAAATGGAAATTCTTTGAACTTTTTTTCCTTCACTTCACGTGTATTTTCTGGATTTTAAATGGTATTAAGGCCGCGCAAACGGAACGAGAATTCCACTTCATGCGGGACGTATTAGACATGAAAAATTCTTCCGTTTTTCGAAATGCTTTGCTCGCGAGTTTATTGAAAAAGAAATAACAATAAAAATCGAATAAAAGAAATGTCAATAAATCTACTCAAACAGTCACCAATGTGTCGTTCACGACGTAACTTTATAGAAAAAATTCCCATTTTTCTCGCGTGCGCCCATTTAGAAGAAATTTTTCCAATTCTATTTGAACTGGCAATTTTTATTATTATTGTGTTTTTTTTCTTTCTATACTTCTCTTTTGGTAATGTCACAATGTTTGAACAGCGGCTTTGATTGTCGTGGCTTTATTTCTCTCTCGGCTGACATTCAAACGCCGTCACTGATGCTTAAGATTTCATTACACTCTGAATGCTCATTTTTCGCAGACTGAAACCGCTCTCGTAGAAAAATGGCAACACCTGAAGGGTCGTTTCCATTTGATATTCAACGATGCATCTTAAATTTCAACAGAAATTGAGTGTAAAATTAAATTTACTTCCAAGCCATTATTAAGTGAAATTTCCTTTCTTTTCTTCCATCACAGAAGCTCAATAGATGTCAAAAGTTGTCTTCTGAGAATGATATGCGAAGCTCAAAATTTCTTACTCCCTCCGGGCTATTCGATGTTTCAAGATATGCTTAGAATCGTTTTCACGTAAGTGCACCATGAATATTGAATATTGTCTTTAAATCTTCAATAACGATCATCGTCGATAAATTTCAATGAGAATTTTATTCATTACATTAAATTTGAAAGCATTTTAAATTTTATTGTCTTCTATTTTCTCCTATTAACAGTGTTCCCATAAGAGATGACTTGAAAGACGATTATAGCAATGCAATGCGCGAAGCAAAAGATCAAGATTGCTTCAAAGTTTATAGCGAGAGATGTCCCATAAGTATCTTAGCATTTCTACTTTATTCAAAGCATTGATATTATAAAAAATATTGGAAATTTAATCACGATAGAAGATACAAAACTGCCACTGATGATGACACAACAATATTAAATAAATATTACATTCTTCATCATGTTGTCGACTGATTTTCTCTTCTCACTATTCAGATTCTTTTAACACTCGATTGATTTTCATTTTCTTTCCTCTTCTTCTTCATCATCATCATCATCAACTTCTTCTTTTTATCCTTATCATCATCATCTGATTACGTTTACGACACAAGGACACAACAATACTTATTCAGAAGCACTTAATCATATCAGAATCAAGATTACGCTAAATCTATGGAAATTTAATTCGTATTAGACAATGTCGTTAAAGGTCCTCTCTTCATGCTTAATTGCTGACCTTATTCTTTTAATTACCTAAAATCAATAAACAATCAATAAAACAGGCGGAGGCTGAGTCTTTTGCAATAAAAAAGTATGAAAAGTTTTAAATGTTTAAAATTCCTTGACATACTTTTCAATCAATGAACGTAAGTTGAAGTTAAGTCGCCTAATGGGATTCATCAAACATTATTGATCGCATCTTTCAAAAAGAATCAACATCTTAAGTATGGATGGCAACATTAATTTAATTTAAAAGAAAATTTACATCAACTTTATATAATGAGAACAGAGAAGCAAAGCAAATCAAGCTCGTTCACTTTCATTTGCCTATTCAACTGGAATTAATTCGCAAACTGTTCCCAAAAGTTGCGCCCAATGAAATGAGATCTCACGAACCCACGTTCATGCTCAATTGAGCAGCCGATTGACTTTTTGTGCTGACAAAAATCCTAACGGAAATTGATTTTTGGATTTCAGGAAAAAAAACTTTGTCGAGAAATGGAATTGTTGATTCAATTGATATGCTCTTCGAATCTTCACTTTCCAGATTTCATACCAAAATCTTAAATCGTTTAAGGTCACTAAACAATACAAAGAAAGAAACTAAATAACTTTTAGGCTAGAGTTAAGTCTTTATAAACTCCATAACAGCAACCGCTCTTCAGCTTATTTAATTAAGTATCATTTACAAAGATTTTCTCTCCATGGTGAAGTCACAAGTGAAAAAGAATGAGAAGACCCTAAATGTCAACAGGAAAGCTTCTTTCACTAGGGTAAGAAGTGAAGAAGCTTTCTCCTTTTCTTCTTCTTCGTCTTCTATGCAAACAACAACAACAAATTTGAATCATTTTATTCTTTCATTTCCTTTGTTGCTTGCTCTCATCTCAAATTTCATGGAAAATGTCAACGAATTTCATTATGAGGCTTGCTTGTTGTTTCTTTTCCCTTCTTTGTGTAACAATGCAATGAACAAAGAAAAGTTTTCTTTTAAAAAAATATCTTTAGAAGATTTGTTGCTTTGTGTATAAAAATATCTACTGGATCTTCATAATCATGCTTAAGGCATGCTACTCATTTCATTTTTCTTTCCAAAATGTAAATGGAAAACGACATATGAAAATTAATTTTCACTTTTCGATGTCACATTATAACTTTAAGCAATGTTTTTTTTTTGTGTCATGTTTTCTTCATTTTGTCATTTCTTCGAATCTTTTTCATGACTTTTGGCTTATGTGATGACATAAAAACAAAAAGGAAGAATTTCGAGGATGTCATGACATGGCAGTAAATTTGTTGTATTTATTAAAGGTCACAAGTGATTTCATAATTCAGAGATTAATTCGAATTTCACTCTAATTTTGCATTCTAAATTTTAAAATCGTCCTTTTTTAGAACTTCTCATATTGTTCAATGTGATTTCAACGTTAGCAGAATTTTTGTAATAGAAGATAAACAAGCTGGTTGTTGTTGTTATAGAAACATAAGTTTCAAGTCGTAATAACTCGTTGCTTAGCGTCAAATCGATTTATTTTCTCCAACTTTCTAATAGAAAGAAAAGTTTGCTGCTTAATTTTTGTCCATTTTCATATCGTTATCGTCTGTTGACCATTGTTGAAGAAAACTTTTAATTACAAACAAGTCAGAAAAATGGTTTTATTGCACATTAAGCGTGGAGAAAGCAGCCAATTTCTGTATGAGACTTCAGTTGGATTTGATGTTGGTAAATCGACACAGGAAATTGTTACCATTTATAATGGTTGCTTGAAAATCCGACGAATTGCTGCAGGTAATCGCAGAGCTATCAATTATTTCACTCAAGTTAGCAATTTTTCTTCACTTTCAGAAATAGAAGAGCTCGCTAACTATGGTTGCATGTTACCACCTGAAATTATGGGATTAACGGACGAACAAGTTGAAGAATTAAAGTTGGTTGACTCGTATGCTGAAACTTGCATTCCATCTGGTGGCTTTAATCAGACGAAGGATCCAGTAGGACGACGAAATGGACGTCAACCATTACCTAACATGCAAGAAATTCTCAGAAATTCAATCAAGGAAGCTGTTGCTATGGTTGATAAAAAATTGATTGATGAAAACAAAATTCTAACTCAGAAACAAGTGAAAGAGGCTTTGGATCTTCTTCGCGGCGCAGTTACAATTGTTTATCCTATGAATTTGCCACCACATGACTCAATTCGAAATGAATTTCAAAATACTGAGGATTTGAGTGGCACACAAGCTTCATTGGAAGTCATTGAACCAGCAAAAGCTCAACTGTGGTTTGCCGGCAAACAAATGCTGCCGAATCATCGACTTGCTGACTTCATTGGAAAGAATGAAAAATGTAAAGTCATCGTGAAGTTACAAAAGAGTGGAGAAGGTGCACCAGCTCGCGAACCCGTCTTCACTGAAGCAGAACGTAAACAAATGATGATGCATGCCTATCGGCGCCAGGAGGAATTGAAACGTTTGGAAAATGACGATGATGACAATTACTTAAACTCATCTTGGTCCAATAACAAAAGTTTAAAAAGTCAAATGCATGGAATCGATAATATAAAATTTCGAGCAGGAAAATAAAGAAATAAAATTATTGATTTTGAACTTTGGGAAATAAAAATGATTTGCGGAAAATAAAAGTTTTTATGATGTCGAGATTATCTAGAAGATTTTCAGTTTTTAAAAATGTGAACTTCGATTCACATAAATTCTAAATGGATTTTGTAAAACAAAATTATATGATTTCTGATAGCATTTGATGGTGAACGTAAAAATTTGTAAGAAAACTTAAAGAGCTTCAAGTCAAAGTTTGGATTTAGATTCTGCCCATTTCCTGTTACAACTTGACTCAGTTTAACAGAAAATGTTCTAATATTTATTCAACATTAATAAAAATGTTGTTCGCTTAAGGGAAATGATTCTACTCCGTCAGTTTTTATACGTGAAGAAGTCGGAGAAATCTTAACAAGCTCGATGACAAAAGCAACTCAATACATGAGCATAATAAAATATTATTCTTGTCTGTTGCCAAGAGCGAGTGATTTTTCTCGTGGTGATTGCTGGTAAAAGGTGAAATAAATCTACTGAAGTGTAATAAAAATTTTATTATGAGATATTCCTGATGATTGCTTATGCATATTTTTCATATTTGCCTGAAAATTTATGTAGTTAAGCTTTAAAAGGTAAATCTTCAATCATAGCTTAAGGGATAAATTGTAATGAGTGAATATTTCGCTTGCATATCTAGAGATGACGATTATTATTTCATTTTATTACCTAACAGAAGCCCATAAGCAAATCGAATTTTCCTCGTCATTGACAATGAGTTATTTGCCAACACAATCAAGAAATATTTCTTCAAGGCATGATTTATTTGATTGTAGAAACTTCCTCCAAATGATGAACATGGCGACTCAGAACTGACAACTTCTATTGATCTTGAATTAGATCATTCAACCGTTATTCTCATGTATTTGTGATTCTAGAAAATCTCATTTATGATTCAAGTGTTAAAAGAGATTTCAACCTCAATAAAATGTGGAAAGATAATTCGTGATGATTCAATTATCGCTTCAATCAAACTTTACACTTTATTGCTACTGTCAACTTTTTATTTTTGTTTGCTTTTATCGAAGTACAAATTTACAGAATTTTATGATTGATATCAATAATTACTCATTATTGAGTCGGAAATTAAAATATGTATACACAAGCGTATCATCAATATTATATTAACACTTTTTGCTGAAATTTCAATTTAAAATAAATATTTTCCTTCTTCAAGTTTTTTTTTCTTTCTTCAACAAAATATTGATTTCATTTTCCCCTCCATAAATTAGGTAATTTTTTTTGAAGCCTGCTCCCTTATTTAAAGTGATTTGAATCTGAAGATTTAATAAAATAAATGAAAGATTACTTTAACTAATTGTTTTCAATTTACCATAGCTTTAACGTCAGATGACTATTTTAAAATAAAATGAAATTGGTTTGGTCGAATGCTGTCATAATGACAATAAAAACAAAAATTATCTAAAACATTAGTTTTAAGATTCTTCTGCTTTGGTCATTCATCAAGTTTGTGGTGTTAAGGTCTTGAAAATAACTCAAGCAAGAAAAATTATGATAGAGTGAAGCTGGGAGAAAAGTTCTATTTAGTAGCATAACCAACAGCTAAGCAGACGTTTCGAATTCAGGAAACTTTAGTGGCTTCTTTTCCCACAAGTTTGCTTATTTAATCTCTCACGTAAGTTTTGCGAACGAAAAATAGCAGCAAACAAGTATTAGGGTTCAATGAAATAAATTATGTTTTTAAGTAACTGTGAAAGTTTCTTACTTTACTCAAAAGCAAACATTTTACTTCTTCTTTTGTTTCAATTTGTCGTTCTTCCTTCATCGATGTCATCTCAAGAGAATCACCCATTAAATGTAAGATCCTCAAAGAAAGTTTTAATTTTGTTGATGTTTTATGTTTTAAGAGATGAAAGGAGTAAAATGCTTTTATGGAGACACATAGTTTGATAGGAATTTTCTCTTGGAATTTTCATCATAACGACATCACATCAATATAAAATCTGCTATTACAGTGTGATGACAAAAGTGCAAAACGACAACAAACTTTCTTGATCTTTTGAAGTACTTTGGATCTCTATAAATGTGAAAACATAATTAATAAAAACTTTATGATAGTCTTGAATAAGTAAACATTTCTTCTCTCAAAACTTCATTGAACATTTGTTAAATAAAATCTCATTAAAAGAATTTCTACATTTGGATTCAAAACCAATATTATTGAAAGCGGTTGTCATCTGTCTTACGATGTTCAATATTGACATGTAATATTCTATAGATCATAACATTGATGTTAATCCGAAGGGAAAAGAAATGAAATTTGTATCGCAAAAAGGAAAATTTTCTCTGTTTTCCTTGTTTCTGATTTCTGTATGTCTGAAATTTTCGATTTTCTTTCTCTTGTTGGGCAATGAACTGAGATTTCTCGTACAATTTTCTTTCAAAATCTTCGTAGTTTACTAATTTTGTCTAACGGTTGTCAAAATGACTTAGCTACATATTTATAAATAAAGAAGAACAAGCAACAAGCAGAACCACTTCATGTTCTAAAATAAAGCTTTTAAATCACACGATGAACCCTTCACACCCTGTGTCAACGTTTCAACTTTTATCATCATCACAAACGAGAAGTTTTCCAATTTACTCTTAACTTAAGTATTAAACAAAGCCAATGATTCAGCGATGATACCACAGAGAAATCTGCCACAGCATTGGCAACGTTATCTATAAGTAAATAATTGACCCAGACATCCAAAGTAGCTTTCGTTACTGAACTAAATTGATTTCTTTTGTTCTTTCAGGATGTGTTATCATAGCAGAGATTGCATACTCAAAGTTCTCTGTGAAATGTTCAAAGTTTGAGGTAGAGAAATGAACGGTGGTTGAAGATTTTATCGAAGCAGTTTTCAATTTCTTAGTTGATGACTTTCACCGGAATACATAAAACCAATTTGATTTCGATAAAAAGTTCTCACAAAGGAGTTTTTCTCCTAATGAATTAGCACTTGGAAATCATTCAAAGTTTGAAATAAATTCAGATGAAGTAAGCTGAAAATGCAAAGAAACTTATCAAAAATTTTGTGAATCTAATCAAATCAAGTTTCAACGACCTTTCAATTATCTTGTTTATCACGTGTAAAGAGGTAAGTTGAAATGTCTGTAACTTTATGTTTATTCTCCTTATTATCGAGTCTTCATTACTCTGATTTATTTATGCATTAAGCTCGTCTGTCGTTTCGTCTTGTTTGCTTATTCTTTTTTTCTTTCTTCTACTTACGTTATCTGAAATGAGACGACTACACTCGAACACTCGAACAGTGTACCACTTTACATAAAGTGTTTTTCAATTATTCTAGCATTAGAGTCTTGAGAAAAGCATTCAGTTGGTATCTAGATCTCTTCAAATAAAAGAGCCTTTCATCTACTCCAAAAAAAGTTTTTTTTTTCTTCTTATCCATGAGATATACAACAGGGCACTCCGTTCAGATTGTTTAAATTTTCTTTCTTTCCAATTCTGCAGAAAGTTTTCCAATGAATGTGCATGTGAGTTGAGCACAAGTGAGAGAATGTTAAGATAGAATAGAAATCTATTGAAAAGAATTTCGATAAATGTAAAGTTTTATCGAAAGAAAATTTATATTCGATCTCATTCTAATTAGAGAAACTTAAGATTCTTGAGATGAACATGAGAAAGAAAGTTTTATTAGCAATTACGCTGATGAATTTAATTCATTACAACTTCTCGGATGATTTTATTCAGCATAGAAACAACAACAACCACACAGAGAAAGTTTTATCTCGGCGCAAACGTTATTTGATATTTCCGGAGGGTTCAAGTTTTTCAGTTGCTACGTGCATGACAGTTGGTGTCTACGGTAATCCACAATTCTCTATTATAAGGTAAAAAAAGCTTTAAACTAAAATCCGCACACTTAGCTCATTGTTGATTTTTGTCTGGAATGAATTTATATTTTAGTTGGGGATTGAATTGGGGATTTTCTTACAATCTTCCTTCAAATAGCTCTTATTTTAAAACTGAAAATGGTGATAGAGATAAACGATCATTTGAAACAAAGCCAATGGCTCAACGTCGTCATCGAAGGAGTCTCTTTAACCGTTTGGAAGTTATCATGCAAGAGTTAGTTACTTATTTCTTAAGATTTAAAAGTCATAAAAATTAAATATTCATAAATCATAAAAATTCAGAATGGGATACAACGGACGAGACTGCATTTTACGTGCTTTATGTGAGTCACCCAAAGTTTTTGGTAAAAGTGGATCAAATCTTGTAGCAGAACTTATAAGGATAATTTTCACATTCCCCAAGTCAAAAGTTCTTCCATTTGAACATGAAGATTTGATGGTATATGATAAAGCACATCGAAGCGGAAAAGCTGGAAAAACAGAATGTCAGACGGCTTATCCAAAATGTGGATTTTCCTTGATCCAATTAGCATTAGGAAAATATTCATCACCACAAATTAATTATATGTAACTGTAAGAAATAAAGAAACAAAGTCTTCTATAATCTGTTAATAACGCATAACATTTATTAATAATGTATTTATGGTAATAATATTTTACTCAATTTTTTATACAATTCTAAATGTTTTCATTTTCAGTTAATTCTCAATTTATTAGAGTTAAACATAATTTATGTTGCTTCCACGTTATTCTTTTCCCCAAATTACCCATTTTACCTTTCTTTAAATACATATATGCGTGTATAAATGCTTAATTATTAGTTTTATGATTTATTAAATAGTTTTTAAAATTATACATATTTAAGCGGGAGATTCAGTTCGATGAATGATTTTTCGTTTTTAATTCTATGCTATGCCATCAATTTATGAACTGAATTTTCCGCTCATTTCGACATTATTTTTTTTGATTGAATTCTCATTATCAATTCATCGATTTTTGTTTTCTTTTTTCTCTATTGTAATTATATATAAATTATAGTGCAAGTGCTGCATTATTTATAATTTATATATAATCATGCTGTTTTACGTTTACTTTTATGTTATATGGTGTTTTTTCCAGTGATTTTTTGTTTTCTCATTTATTTATAAATAGATTTTCTCACAAGATCCTCTGCTACGAGTAGAATCTTACATGTGTTAATTTTCCTTGCCTTCAATAAAATTGCTTTATCTAACAACATTTTCTATGTTACAAAATCAGTAATTGATTTAAGTAGCATTTATTTTACAATGAGTTTTTGATGATCACAAAACTTCACGTGAACAGCCTTTCAACATGGGAAATTTAGTTGTTCCGTTTGCGCTATAATTATCCGAAAAGTTGCTTCCACTGATTGATTAATCGGCAGGTTCGGAATCTCTTATGAAAAACAATTTCGTTAATTTCATCTTTTTTGATTCTTTTTTTCATGTCTTCATATGTATATACAGTTATCAAACACATTTTCATTAGCCATATAAATACATGTGTCACCATTTTAATAGCCTAGATCTATGGTTCATATTTTTCTTCTTTTTAAATGCCAGTTTATTCTCCCAAGTCATTAAATTATTATTATTATCTAATAATAGTAGTGCTTGTAGGTCTGCTGTTTATGTTCTTCTTAGTGCAACAACATTCTAATAAAATCTATTTTCCTTTTTTTTGTGTGTGTTCAAAACACATTTTAAAGCAAACTTAGGAGAAATTAAATTTGCGGATTTAAATTCTTCGAATCATTCACTTAATAAATGTTTGTCAATAACAAGTTTCCTTGTTCATTATTAGTTCCTTTTCCTCAAGATATTGTTTACAAACAGTCATAAAAATGATTTAGTACGAATGTGTAGATAACCAAATCACAAAAACCAAATCTTAAAAGCTTTCCACATGAACTCTTGTTATTTAACTGTGCTTATCAATTGTGTTTATTACGCTAACTTCATGTCAGTAAATAACGCACTTAACTCTTTTCATAGAGCTTTTTGGCATGAAAACATTTTCTTTCTCGAAGTGTATCAAATTTCTTTATGATTAATTCTTTGTAGATAATTCAACGATTGTCCCCTATATTAAATGGTGAAAAACGTGAAATTTTTCGTGAATGAAAAAGTTGAAGATGAAGAGAGGTGTGAAAATCATTTTCTTCTATTCCTTTTTATCATTTCATATAAAACAATTTCATTATATTTGTTACTTTCTGCTTTTTATTGATTTCCTGAATTTTTTTCTCTCATTACGTCATCGTGATATCTTTCGGATTCTTTTTCTTCTCACTTCTTTATTTTTATTATTTTTTTTCTTGTGTTATTTGAAAGGGAAGAGGGAACGCGAAAAATGAAAAATAAATCATTGGAGTGTTTCCGAGAAAAGAAATACGAGCGAGAGAAAAACAACAATCTTAAGTACAAGAAGAAAGTAAAGTTTCTTTTATATCCAATTCTTCATAGCAGAAAGCAAATATTTGATGAATAAAACTTTGTACAACAACGGCAGAAAAACGTTGAAAATTGGAATTTAATTTTCAGGAAAATGAGCTTTCATCTGTTCGCTTTTCATTTATTCACAACCTATTTGATGCGGAGATTTCCGTTTGTATTTCTTTTCGTTTGCAAAAAATAAAAGGAAATTTCCATCCAATAACCTAATAACTAAAACACAAAACAGAAAAAAAGTTACCATTACGATGCGAGAAAATATTTCGTGTCTTTAAATGGCTCCATTTGATTCATGTGAGTGGTTTATCATTTTCTTATTGTTTTCCTTTATGTTGCAGATTTTGAAGATCATTTAGAAAAAACACGAACAGGTAATGGAAGACTCACGATTAATCGAAATCAGGGTCAAGCCATAATGTTCAAAATTTTACATAATTTATTAATCTTTTTTCTTTTTTTTTCGACTTTCTTAATTTTATGTTTCACTCGCGTTGTTTTATTTTATTCTGTTAAATTGAACTTAATTAATTTTTTCCATTTTCGTTGTGTAAAAATTTCTCTAGAACAGTTTATGACTAACTTTTTACAGCTTAATGGAATAGTAGAATAAAATCTCAACTCTTATTATTTAAATGTTTATCAAATGATTCTTTTTCTTCAATTATTACCTCATCTATGTTGTATTTAGTGCGTATTAAAACTTTCTTTTATTTCTTAAATTAAATGTGGACGAATTGAATTGACTTTTAAATGGAAAATAAAAATGAGAAGGAAAGAAAATTTGTAAATAGAAAATGTAGAAATGGCATTTGATGAATATTATATAAAAAAAGCTAAATAGTCCTTTTTGTTTGACATATTAGTTAAATACATACATCTGCGAATCATTCATTTGTTCTTCTGAAGTCCGCTCCGTACAAAAATCAATTCATTCGTCAAAAAATTTATTTTATTTCTTTCTTTAAGAAGTTTTGTTTTTTCCTTTTTTATATTATTTATCATGAAAATTTATTTGTTAACTTTGAGCACGTTTTTAAAGATTCCAACGAAGACATTAATGTTTCTTTATTTTTTTTTTATTTACGGAAGAAAAATAACTTTACATTAACTTTTCATTATTTTACGAGTTACATATCTATCTCCAAAAAAGTATTAAAATTGATAGAAAAACATAAAAATCTTTTTCTTTGGAAAAATATTTGTCAACTGCAGAAGCTATTAAGAAGTTTTTTAACTTGAATTTATATCATAAAAGACATCGCTTTACTCAATCAGAAATTATTCTTAAATTGTATTGAGTAAACACTTTGGAGAAGAGACTCGACGATACAGGAAACAAACTCCATCAGACTTCACTTTTGTGTGAGAGTTGATGGATATTTAAAAGTAAAATGGAAGAATAATGTGTTCTTGTGATGTAATTTCAATGAACATAAACTTATTTTCATTTTTTAAACTATATTTTGACACCCGTTTAAAGTTTATTTACTTCTTTTTACCATTTTATGATCTAGGGCCAGTTCTTTGTTGCTATCATGTTTTACAGTAAATTACAAATTCATTTTTTTCTTCATCTCACAAAATATTTTACACTAATCTACAAGATTTACATCAAAGAATGTCGGAGATGTATTTATGATTCGAAGGATGATTTGATGATGGAGAAGAAATCTCTGATTTTATACTTTCAACGAGCCAATGTTTTTAAAGAAAGTATAAATATGCAGTGATCTCGTTCTACCATTCAATATATTACTCGACATTCTTCGCCTGATACATTTAATTAATATTTATGAACAGCTTTTGCGATGATCAACATAATTTTACATTTTTCTTCTTTGCATTTTTTGTTTCACAACTCTCCAATCCTTAAAGTCAGTGTAATGAAAAGACAATTTTATGATTAAAACATCTTATAATTTCTTTCTCTTGAGAAGAAGTGAGAAAAAAACAAATGTCATTCATGGCGTATTGAAAAAAGCTTTGAAAAGATATAACGAGAAAATCTTAAATTCAAAATTCGAGACATGAGAAATCTCTCAATGACAATTTGTTGGGCGTCGCTATTCTCAATATCACAATGCAATAAGAAGAGAAGACAGAAGCGACAAGAAGGAAGAAAAAAAGATGGAAAAATGGGAGAAAAATCTTTAGTGAACACGCAAAAAGTCGATGCTGGGCAGAGAAGAATGTTAAATAGGATTTTTCTTATGAAAATCTATTCCTATAGAAAATCTTCTTTCCATTTTTTTAATAAGAAAGCATTTGGAACACATTTTGTGTTGCTTTTTTGAATTAATTTTGTCTTTCTTTCTGTGAAATTTTTCACCATGAGAGGAGAACAACAAGGAAAATTCAGTAATTGCTAGTCTCTGCTTTTACTCCATTAAGAAGCGACAAAAGTGACTGTGACACAAATCATTCGAATGCGGTGTGGGGATGGTGGATTATTGAAATAATTTTAAAATATATTTACTTCTCGTGGAACCGCGTGGAATAAATTTAATAAAATTAATAATTCATCAATCATCGCCAAGCGAGCGTTGTGATGAAAGATGAAAAGATGAGACTTTGTCGTAGCTTAAATTGAAAGCACACAAAATGAAGAACCAAATGGAGACCTCATTGAAGAATTGGAAATGCTAAACTAAAGGCATCGTTTTCTTTTTGCCAATTTTTCCGGATCTTTTCGTCAAGGGATCAATAAATAAGCATGAAAATTTCAACTAAAAGTAGATATGAATTTGAAATGTGAATTGAGAATATTGAGAGAAAGAAAAGGTTTTTGTAGCTTTACAAGAACTTTTTCAAACTCATTCAAACTGCGGAGAAACTCATTAGGTTCGTGACTCATCATACACTCAATGTGTTAAAGCTTGCTTCAACATTCATAAAGTTTGTAATTGAATAACAAGGAAGAAAGTCGATGAACATTTAATCACCAAGTCTTGCAACGCAACGTAAGAAAAAAAGTTCGAAGCTCTCATTAAATGGCTTCAAAGATTAGCAATCAATGTAAAATGTTAATTTAATGATTAGTTATGATCTCTGACATTGTTTTCTTAAAGCTTAACATTCAAAGTGCTTTCAACTATTGTTCAATATTGTTTATATTGATCATATTCAGAATATTTCGCTTTTGTTGATGTTAAAGTGCAGTTGCATTTATTGCTGTTGTAGTTGAGTGTTAATTTAATTTATTTTAGTGATTATATGGGGTTCATGATGAAGTTGTCTTTCTATCGAACGGGCGGATAGACAAAAGTGCATGAAATGCATTATAATCTTGTTTTACACATTCCCACAATTCTACTTATGGTGCTTGGATGTTTGTGGGTGTGGATGGATGGAACAGTGAAAATGAAAACAAAATAAAAAAAGAAGAAAATGAAAATATTTTTAAAGTATTTACATGAAATTTTTCTTCTTCATTCATTTCGCCATAAAAGCCTCATTGTGAACAATGTACATTTAGATAATTTAAGCAAACGTCAGATACCACACATAGATATATGTCATGTAGCATATTTAACAAAACTTATGTAAAACATTTTCATTACTTTTAATCAGAAAGAAGGAAAATATATTTTTCTCTTGTAATTTATTTAGCTAGAGGGCCGACATTTCATTCCACACAAGATTGATGTTTATGTTGACGACAGAATGAATGGATTAAATGTGGTGTAAGAAGAAAAACAAAACATTAACAGCAGAATTGAAACCAGCGAAACATCGCGTGGAAACAGAGGAAAATAGTTAAATGTAATAATTTTCACTATCAACGCATCTTGCGCATCTCCACAAAAAAAATTCAAGCTGTTGCTGTTCTTCTTTTAATTTAATTAATTATATTTTTTTGTTTTGTTTAAAATGTTCATAGTTTCCTGTAGTTAAGACACTTTAATTACTCTTAATTTTTTCTCTTCTTCTTCTTCGTTTTTCCTCACAAAGTTTTGAGGTTTTCAACTTTAAGAAAGAAAAAAACTTGTTTTTCTTTTCGCTAGTGCTTTGCAATTGTTTTCATTTTCATCTCAATCTACATGTTTGTTCGTCTAGTGCAGTAGTAGTTATAGTTATAGTCATTAGGTTTTAATTGAAGTTGCATTTTAATTTCTATTCATCCGGAGTTTTGTGTTTTTTTAAGAAATGTTAATATTGTTTCGGAATTCTAGAATTGTCTTTTCTATTATTGTGCAATGGCAAATCAAAAAATAATTTGTTTTTATTATTCTTTTTCTCTTTGTCTCTTTCCGACTAAACAAAGAGACAATCAATTTCAATCATCTTTACTTTTTTTATTTAATTATTTTTAAATCTCAATACAAAACATTCAATGTTTATGAATATCACTTTGTGTTTTTTTATTTTATTTTAATTTATTTTATGTTCAACGTTTACGTTCAAATCACTCTCGGAATAAGTTTCATCATCAATTAATGTCCCATTTAATTTACATCTATAAAAAAATGGTTAGTCATTTTAGTTAACACTTACACCGACAAATTGGGGGGAATAAAAATAACACTGCAAATTTTCCTTCCTTAATGTTTTCTTTTTTTACATTTTCTTCATATTTTTATCTCGAGCTTTCTACTCGACAGTTGTTGTCGGGATTTTTTCCTTTTATTTCTTTTGTGTTAATTGAAATTCATTATAATTTCTGTTATGGTCACGGATGTGTCTCATAGAACCGCGATTTATGAGCCAGGCATTTAAGCTTTTATTTTTTTATTTCACAAATAATTCTTTTATGTTTTTCCTTTCTTTATTTTTCCATCTTCTGGCTTTGTCGTCTCGTTGAACATCACTACTATTGCATAATTAATTTTCATTAAAAAATGTCTGTGCATGTTATTATCATTTGTCCCACAAATTTCCATTTCGCTTTTTTTAACGTTCTTTGCACTTGCCGTTTTTATTAATTTGCTTTAATGTTATTTTTTAATTAGCTTCAGAAGCGACCACATTTTTGTGTCCATTAAACGTAGAGGAAATTCGTCATTGAGTGTTTCGTCGATAATCACTTTTAATCGAGTGTTGCAGATGGTTTCGTATCGGTAGTTAAGCAACTGTTGCAATGATTTTTGATTTAATGGCTGTCTTGATTGGCCAGGGTTCGTAGCCATGCTTGGATTGTTGTCCAAACACCGGCTATGAACCCGGGTGTCTGCTAGACACCCGTACTCCCCATTTTCAGTAATTCGAGCTTCTTTTTGGCGATCTTTGAGTATTGAATATCTATGGGATTTGTCGTATCGTAGAGTGAGGGTGCTTGCAGGATAATTAAGCATGTGCCAACCACACAAGCAATTGCAAATATCCATAAAAATAAACGATCTAATACCAATGCTACGTATTTCCAGTCTTCTTCTACCTAAACTCGTTAAAAACATCGAAACAAAAAGAAAAAAGAAATTAATATTTATAGTTTTGAAGAAATCGTTTGGGGGACTTTTAACATGTGAAACTTGACGACATTTCGAAGCATTAAACATCGTATTCTGCAACTTAACAGCTGCAGCTGCACACTCAAAATAATTTTCTTAAATTGCATGTTTTTCTTGCTGTTGCCGTACAGAAAACTTTAAAATCATTCGTAAAGAAAAGAGAACAAACTTCCAATGCAGATGAAATTTGTTGGCATATCGTGCAACCTTCGAAAAAGGAAAGAATGAGAAATTTAGATCGCCCGACAAAGTAAGCGATAAATAAATTTCTTTTAGTTGCCAACAGACGATTCCCACAACTGTAACTCTATGGAGCAGAAGAGCGACAAGGAAAAAGGGGAACAAGTCAGATAGGAAGAAAAAAAAAAGAGCTCAGAAATCCATTTAAATTTATCTTCATACTTAAATCTTCCTTTATCCTTATCAAATTTGTATATAAAAATGGTAAATTTTCTATGGTGCTCTAAGATGGAGATGGAAAGCGCCCGCTTAAAAATGTCATTTCCTTTCTCCATTCTACGCTACGCTCTCCTTCTCATAACATTTTCCTCTGGTTAACGGATATAGCGTAATATTTCCATTTCAGTTTCCATTTCAGGAGAGAAACGAAGAAAAACGTTATATTAAATTACTGCGATTGATATTACTTTCAAGTTGTTTTGCATAAGCTTTTTTGAAGCACTTTAATGTGTTTTTGTGTCATTTTCGTTTACGCTTTATAGTACAACGCCTGTCGGTAGTGTTATGGAAATTGTATTAATTGAAAGTAGACAATTTTGGGGTCTACAAGAGAAAAAAAAGATTTGAATTTCAAAGTGAAGTTAAATAAACAAATTTCAAATTTATACACCAATAAGGAATAATTTTCTCTCTTACCGTGAGCATTCATAAACAGAAATATCAGAATATCTAAATTTTCATACAGGTTACTTAAAAAACCTAAGAGAAAAGGAAGATTCTGTTTCTGAAATATATTTTAGAATATTTTCAACCCTAAAAATTATGATAGTAAATATTATGACCACCACATCATAGAGAGGTTTTTGGGGATGATATAAATGCTTTCAAAAAACTTCTTCATGCGAGATAAATAGATATTCACTTGAATATGTATTCTTGTTTCATAAATTGGATTCAAAAGCTTAGAAACCGACCATAAATAAATCGCATGCCTAATATTTATGTATCTACCATGTTAGAACAAACCCCATTTGATCCACGATGGGTGAAGAGGAAAACAAAATTGATTTTTTGTCTGAACTGCTCGTTTTTCAAATTGAAGTGATTGTTTAATCTGCTGTGAAATGTTCTGCAACTTGAACCCTCAATAGTTTTCAATTGAACACTTTTTTGATTTTAGTTCTCAAAAAACTTTTCTTTTATCTTTATAAAGAGTGTTAAATTTTAATATTACTTTGACCTGTTTTGCAATCGATTACCCAAAAACAAATTAAAACATTTTCAAGTTAAAGCCTCTAGGGGTTATTTTTTGATCAAGAATTTAAAGGATTTCAATTGCATACCTTTCAGGCGCTCACATATTTTTTATTATTTATTTCGCCTGAAATTATGCAACCAGAACAGTCTCGGTTTTTAGGGTTGAAATTTAATAACTTAATTGATTAAATTATTAAGCTATATGAAAACGTCAAAACCAAACTTTAGAGGAAGAGGGGAATCCTAGCTTAAGATTTCATATTAATGTCATTCATCTACAGTCTTATCCCTTCATAAATAAATATGAAACAAGACATGACTTAGAAAGTTCACTTTTGACTTTATGCAGTATCATCAGCATCGTATGAAAATTTCTTATATCAAAATCAAAGTCATTGTAGAAATAAACATTCAACAAATAAATTTAATATTCATAGCGATAATTGAAGAATTCTTCATTGAAAAAATTACATCGCTTCCGGGTGTAAAATAAATATAAAGAAGAAAACTCTTTCGTCATGTCATGAGGGAAGCAAATAAATTGAAAGTCATTGCTGAGAAATGCTCATCATGTTTCATAAAAAAATTGAAAACGCAACTTTATTGTCATAGTTGAAGTTTTTCATAAAGTTTCTCTTTAAAGTTACCTCTAAAATATGTCTCTAAGTGAGAAAATGTTTTAAATTTTCTGTCTGAATCTGAATTGAATTTTGCTTTCCACTTTTTCCATAAAACTTGATATTTTCCATTGTTAAGTTATTTACGATTATGTAACAAAATATTCAACACAAATTTCCGACTTTTCAATCGTAAATAAGGTTTTCTTTTTGCTTCATGGGACTTCATGGGTTACATTGCAATTGCTTTTTACTTATTTATGATTGCGCTGTTAACAGCTAAGGAAATTGCATTATCAGAACGTTTCTCTTTTCTTCTTTATTGTGTGTAATGCTCCGAAGATGTCTTGTATTTATTTCAGTTCGTTTGGCTGTCGCTCGACTAAAGCATATTTTCCATGTTGCTACAGATTCGCAAACTTCATAGCGACACAGAGTTAATTAATGGTTTTAAACTTGAAAGTGATTAATTTAATTAGAAAATTCGTCGTAAGCAGCCACGCCCCTTTTATCTTACGCAAGTAAAAACTGTCAACTTTCAAATACTTACACTCTCGAATTTATCTTTATTTTTAACATGTTGAGCTACGAAACGGGATGCTTCCATCGTCTTCTCCATTTCACGATACATTGGCTTCTCAAACGTTGGACTCACATCACCGCAACAATTTGGACTCATATCGTTGATTCCAGGACTAAAAAGTTCTTCGTCGCCACTCGATAATGGCAATGGCAGTGCTGGCAATGGTGGCTCACCGAAACGCGATGGTGGCAGAGCTGAAGAATAAAAAAGAGAAAATAAAAAGATGAGAAATTAATTTTTAACAAGATCAACACTTTGTGAAGCTCTCACGAGAGCGACATGGATTTTCCATTCTCAGAACAAACACACGCCTTGCCTGGTCTTGTTTTATCGTTTCTCTTCAGTAATGTGGCACGCAAGAGATAAAATTTGCAGCATTTCATCGAATTTTACCAACAATTCATATTTTATTAAACTAAATTTAATTTAAACTTTTCCCTCGACGAATGGCTTAGTTTGGAAACAAAAGTTGTCTTGTTTATAGAACTTTTCGTTATCATTTTAACGACATATTTACAAAATATGGAAACGAGATTTAGAAAAAAATCTGTGTGTAAATTAATTTAATCGATCTTCTAATGAATGTAACATAAGTTGGTATTAAATTTAACTAATTGACAATTTATATTTTGAAAGGTAAATGACGATGTGAAGTTACCCGAAAACTAAAATAAATTTAATACTTTGAGTGAAGAGAGAAATAAATGACATCATTGAATGAAACGATTCGACATTAAATTTTCTAGTGACAATCAAAAGTTTTCTGTTGATGTTCTGAACATTCCAAAGAATAATTATTATGTCGCTAAAGTAATATGACGATAGTAAATGTTTGGAACTTTTCTCAAATTATAGTGACATCACACTCACGTACAATCCCACCCACATCATGAGACATTCATAATAGGAAATTCGTTTATATTAAAAGAAAAAGTTTTACATCATAATCTAATCGAGCTACCAAACTTCGCTGGAAATTACAAATGAAAGAAGTTCAAGGGAAAAGGGAAGAAAATCACATTAATTGTGCTGTTGCCTATGTGCGTATTTGATGTGAGAAAAGTTAAATGATTAATTACATTTCACTCAGCATGAATCGTTGCAACAATGAAAGGAAAAAAAATTCAGACATTTCCTTGTTGACGGAAGTTAGGGAAATGATTGGATTACTTAGATATTTATTTTTGAATTTAAGGACAATTGTTCATTGATGTAATTTATAAAAATAAAAATTAAACAGTTTGAGTTAGCTTTGCTAATGTTTCATTTAACCGCAGGAGATCAATAAAAGCATTCATTTCATCTAAATTTTCAAGTAATAAAAATGTCGGAAGCAATTCTTATAAATTTCAGTGACTTTGTTGCTTCGGCTGTAAATCCATCAGATGACAAAATCAACACGTCTTTGTTGCATGATCTACTTCAGATAATTGTAAATCAATTGCGACTATCGTCAAGTTTGATTGAAATCCACAACTTGGGAAGTGCAGCGATTGAAAATCAAATTACAGATTACAAGCAGTGTCATGGATTTGAGATAAATGAATTTGATACTGAGAAGGAAGTTGATGATGCCAGTGGGAACGTTGTGATCTGTAGAAAGGAAATTGAACGAACAGTAAGTGACGAAACCACCAAGATTTTCATGATTCAACATTCGGAGAGTTATTTGAACTCTGGAAATTCAATGTCCAATAGAAATTCGCAAGAGTTTGCAGCGGAAAACCAAAGAATTATCGTCAATGAAGAAGAGCGCTTTGAAGCCATCAACTTGGAGATTACTCGTTTAAATGAATCGATTGAAAAAATTCAAGTGAAGGAAGAAGAAAATTTAAAAAATGTGCGCAATGAATTCGATTCGGTGATAATATCCTTGAATGACAAAGTGAACAACTTATTAAATGAGATGAATAAATTCAACTGTAAATGTATTGAAGAAGGTTACGAAGAGTCACTTTTCGAAACTTTTCTTGGGAAATTGGCAACAAAACTTGATGAGATGACTTCGACCTTTCAAACTGAAACTGAAGCATTGAGAAATCGCTTTGAAGAATCGAGTGGAGAAATACGAAACGATTTGACTCTTTTGGACAATTCAGTTATTGAGCAAATTGAAGTTTTAAAGACTGAATTGGATAACGCAAAACTTCAAAGTCAAGAAATAATGGAAAAAAAGGAAGACAAGTCATTGATTGCCGAAATGAAGAAACAATTACAACAGACCATAAATGAACTTGACAACAAGATTGAAAATGTTGATTGCAAAAAGCCGATGGCAGCCGGTGTAGCAAAAAGATGTTTCAAGAATTTCCAATGCTTATCATGTGGCACAAATGTCATTCAAATTGAACCGAAAAGTCCCGTTTATACAACATTAAGGCCAAGTAACGACGATGGCAGTAGCACGACATCACCAAAGAGATCCGCTGGTGGAAATCATACGATTTTGTTGCCTCGGGAACGAATATTCCGAATAGAAGACCGTCAAGCATGAATAAAATTTATTCGTTTCTGTCTTTCGAGATAGAAAAGTAGAACAAAGCTATTAAATATGTGAAAAAAAAAAGAAAACATCGTAATCATAGCACAGACCATTCGAAAAGAGAAAGAACCTTTCAATTCTTATCAATTCTTTAACGGTTTCCTTCCACCCCCACTCATCGCATTACTCATAATAAAGCGCCTCATCTCATCCCATAACAAAAATTAGGTTGTTTCATTCGACAGGTACAACATACATCATACTTTTTATCCCATCTGTCCCATTTTTTGTCGATATTTCATGAAACAAGTAAGGAAAAGGTGTGCTGTTCCCTTCAATGCTTCTTGAGAATTTATGTATGTATATGATACAGAGGAACGTCGATAAACTGATCGTTCATTGAACGGATAGAACTCACTGGTTCGAACTTTTACTGTATTTTAATATAATGTGACTGAAAAAAATGAACGCTTCGTAATCACTCAGAGATTAAATCATAAATGAAAAACAGAAAAAAAGGCTATCGAAAGATGCTAAAAATTTAATATTTATGTGTTGATGCATAAAAATTTCATGCTCGTCTCGTTATTTAATTTATTCGTTGCCGAAAGAAATGAGAGAAAATCCTCGACACAGAAATTATGCAAGCAATTTTTATTTATTTTTATATTTTTCTTTTGAAATATGGAAGAAAAAAGCCAGAAGAAGTTGGCGAACGCAGTGGCAATGGCAAGAAAATAAATTGTAATAAATTTCATTTCTAAAGATGTTGGAAATCCTTTTATGGAGATTTAGGAGAAAGAGACATAAGGAAAGGAAGTCCTTGACAGTCGTCCGTCCATACATGATTCATTCGGACGAGCGCATTAAATTTTTAAGGGCGAAGATGAAGAGATTTCTCTCTGGTGTGTACATTATGTTGATTTATTAAGTCGTTTTGGAAATAAGTTCATTTTGCATTCATACTTACATAAATATTTATGCTTTAAATGTATGTAATATCATTAAAATGAAATTCATAAATATTTATTATGTTGCATGATATTATTTGGTTGAGAACGACGAAGCTTGTGAATTTAGTCAACATCATGATAGAATAAACCTTTAAACTCCACTTTAAAGAGAATTTAATCTTAGGAACTTGCAACTGTCAATGGTAACATTGAATAACCCAACATATGCACAATTCCAACCTATCTCTTGATATTTCTTTAAATAATGTGTAAAGAATTCTTTCTAAGAGGAAAGCGTTGAAAAGGAAGTTGAGATCTCATTAAATGTTCTTCCTTTTCAATATTTTTTTCCCTTCATTCGCTTTGCTTCTCTCATTCTTTTCATTAATAGAAACAAGACCAAAATACAGAAAAGAAATTAGGAAAAAAGAACTTTAAGTGCTTAAAGCGTCTTCATCCGTTACGAGAAATGAAAGCATGGAAGCTTTGTATGAAGACGATAAAAACGAAGCAAAATCAAACTTGGAACGAAATTAAATGAAGAAATTATGTTGCAATTTATGTAAAACCCCGCAAACTCGAAAAACACGCATGGCACACAAAGTAAAGCAAGACAAATAATCCAAAAAGAAAAAAAAGTTTTCTTACAGTTGGAACAAAGAAATGAAAGAGAAACAAATAAAAATAAGATACGCACGAACAGCATACATAACAAGACAAATGTTGCCGCATTTTGATGAAGCAAATGAAAATTGTTGAGGATTAAAAGCTCGCCTGCTTTTCTCTCACTGTTCAGATAACGCTTTGAGTGAAAATGAGTTCGCATCATTAAATCTCATTGCATTCATTTTTACATTTTCGTTCGTTTTCGTCTTCTGTTTAAGCAACTACACCACCCTCTACTTCACTACAGACATTGTTTGTGTAAAATCACTTTGAATGAGAATGGGATTAAGTGACTTAAATGAATTCTCTTTCTTTTTTTTGTCTTTTTCCAACTTCATTTGCCTTTTAATGGCGCTAGTTATGCTCGATGTTGAGAATGTAAAATATAAAATGAAAACCAAACGCGACGATGTCTTCCCAACGGATAACTGAAAAAGCTTTTCCATTTTCTTTTTCTCTTGTCTGTTTCTTTTTGTTGAATTTTCACATCTTAACCACAACACATCTCATACCAGTCACACAAGCTTTACTTCTTTCAACCATAAAATGTAATTAAAGTAGAAGACAATTAAAAGTCCCGCATTGAAAACTCACCTGGTATATCAAAATCAGTACTATATTTGTTTGTACAAAATGGTGAATATTTCTCCACATCTGGTGGTACATGGAACACATCAGTTAACACTTCTGGCGGTTGCTCTTCGACTTGCGGTTCATCTTCCTTTTTGGGTCGTTGTATGCACAGGAGCTTAGGCAGAAATTCGATAAATATTCGTTGAACCCACGGTGCCATTTTATGCGTTACCGGAGATCTACAGTAACATAAGCATGAAAAGGATCATTTGTGTGGGTATATGGAAAGATAAAGAAAGAGAGATACGGTTACATTTAATTGTGGGTTATATTTAGAATTCATAAATTAAAATAAAACAATCATTCTGACGTATACAGCATGGAACTTTTATTTTTAGTGAAAATATTGAACGAGTCAAGAGAACAATTTTTTCTGTTAATATTTACTCACCGAAAATTAACATTTAACACAGCAATTGTCGTACAAACAGATAAAGTGACTAGCATCATAGTGAAGAGGAGATATTTGCCCAACAATGGCACGGTCAATGATGTCGGTGGAATAATTTCAACAAGCAGTAAAAAAAACACAGTCAGTGAGAGTAATATGCTGATACATAATGATATTTTCTCTCCACTGTCCGATGGTAAATAGAAAACTAGCACTGATAACATTGATATACCAACACATGGTATGATTAAATTAACTGTTGACGAGAAAAGAGAAGAAAGAATTTGGTTGTGGGGGTGTGAGAAGATAAATAATGAAAAGTGACATCACTTACCTGTATAAAACAATGTCTTTCGTCTGATTGTTATATTAAAAATTATATCGGGATATGGTTCTTCACAACAACTATAAAATTTTTCATTTCTAACGGCAGGCACCTTCAGGATCTCCCATTCGACTGATATATAGTAGTCTTGAAGATCAATTCCGATGTCAATTACATCTGAATCGGGCGATTGTAGTAGATGACGTAAATCAATCTGTTTATTTTGTTGAAAGGAAGTTATAACGAGAAAGAGATGAAATTAAAAAAGAAAATTGAACACTGATATATTATGAAGCTGTCTACTTCGATTCATTCTTTTTTTTATTATGTATTTTCCGTTACAACAAATGTTATAGCAGCCAAAATAGGAAACCAACAAAAAAAAAAGGCAGAGAAGCATTTTCTGACCACAACACATAAAAAACCTTGCTATGGGCTGTCGTTTGGTATACAGAAAGAGCAAAGGCAGTAATCAAATCATACATAAAACAATTCATCTCTCATCGAAATCATATTTCATTTCAGCAATTTCGTTGGGATCGGAAAAAAATGGATAAAATCCTTTTTGGAAATACTTTAGGGAGTTTTCTTTTATGCGTGGTTTGCTTTCGACATTTTCATCAAACGATGTTTGCGAATCGCAATGTCATGAGAGGAGAAGTTTGAAAAGCCAATTAATAAGCTAGAAAATGCCTCGAAGTCTTTTCGAAAAAAAAAAGAAACTAAACTTTCATATCTTTTATGAATCATTTTGATACATCATAAAACTTACCATATAACCATCATATGTCCAAGAGCCAAACTGTTTCGTTCATGAAATTTGTTGCATGAATTTTTTAAAGATGAAATTAATATACAGCATGAGAATAAGGAGTAAGTACTTAATTAAATAAATATGGAAATTTATCCCAGATAAAGCTAAACCGACCTTCATGAGACATGTTTGCTCGTCAAATGGGAAGTACTCTACATCAATTTCACAAAATGATTTATAGATCGCTGGCGGCTTCCATACTACTTTTCCTGTATGATGTAATATTGCTTTTGTCATTATTGTTACTTCATAATTGCCATCCGCACTAGAAAAATGTAGCAAAAAGAAAGAGAAAGTTAAAGAGATGTTATGTAATTAATTGGTAGGAAGATATCCATCAAGTTATAATGGAAAATAAAAACTCTTCTAATGTCTTCCGAAACAAAAAGAAAGAGGAAAGAAAAAAAAAACTTTCGGCTCATCTTGACGTAATCATCGTGATTTCATCAAGTTTTGATTGAAGAAAGATGTCAAGAACTTACTTATTATACAAAACTATGTCCGGCAGCCAAATGTGTTCAGATGGCACATGAAGTGTGTCTACACCGCCGTAGTCGTCTGGATTCCACTTGAGTTTATAGTCATTCCACTCCTAATTGAATGAAAGTTAAAATAAAAATATTGAATAAGCTTAACAAATTCAGACAATGCTTTAGAAAAAAAGCAAGCAAACTTTTCAATTAAATTTCGTGCTTTTGAAACTGACGGTTTTCAATAAACAAATGGCTTTTGACAAGCCCCGACTTCCACTTGTGCTTCGGAAAATTCAATTAACAGGGTTTCAAGTAGATATGAAAAAGCCAGAGATAAATAAATTTGGAACGATCCCAAAATGAGTTTGTCAACGTGATTTCTTTTTACCCCTCGAAGGCTTTAAATCTCTACGCTCAGCGATATATTCGATACATGTATTTAATACAATACACGAGATCTAACACAAAAATTGAATCATTAATTGTTAATTTATACAAAATAATTTATTGTTGGGAAAACATTTTCCAATTTTCAATGAAGAACAAAAACAAAAACTTTTCGTAAGTTGGGGTGAGTTAAAAATTTAGGAAATATGAGATTGGAAATTCAAATCTTTAAAGAAGAAAAAAAAACAAATTGAAATGTTTTTAGTGGTTTGATGATGGTGGATTGAAATTTGAATTTGAATTTTCTTTGCATAGAATTTTCAGTTGAAATCATGAAAATTTTATTCACACCAACATCGGTTAGATATCGAAATCAAAATCGAATACGAGAAAAGAAGAAGATAAAAAGAAAAACTTTTATGTTCAACATTGTTTCTATTGTCTCGTTCGTCGTCGCCTCAAACAGTAAAAAAATATTTTTATTTTCGAGGTAAATATTCACGCTTTATTGACAATACTCAATTGAATATTTAGATTAAAGGAAAGTTCCGAGAAGTGAAAAAGCTGCTTTAAATATCAATACAAGATCTTATTTGAGTTTAATTGAATTTTTATTTATTTATGCTGCAGAATGTCAACAAGAATTGTCACGTGTGAATTTTTCATTCCCAATTTTCCCTCAGATATCCTGATGTCTAATGCATACAAATTATTTCATGTTTTGCTTTTCATTGAATGCATGAAATATTTATTATTAAGGCTTCTATTTTCATTAAAATGCTTAGATATTTCAATTGAAATCTGTTTCTGTTATGTTTTAAGCCTTTTGAGAGCTTAATTGTTTGAGAAATGTTGATTACCATGAATACATTTTGAATTTCTCTGGAATTTTCCCAAATTTTAAATTGAAGTTGATTTTGAGAATTTTTCCTATATTTTGTGAACGCACAGAACATTTCTCGATAACATTCTCATGACATTGTATATGACAAATGGTTCATTGTGAGGTAATCTTTATGCAAATTCCATCTCTCTCTGTCTCCTCTTACCCATCACCCAATTTTTATTCTACCTTCCTCACAACACAATCTTATGATCGTTAAAATTATCATAGAGTAAGACATGGAAATTTCATCGTTTATGCATACCAAATGGAAGCGTTTTTCAACAAGGAGATACTTACTTGCTCCACCCAGACGTTTGTCGTCATTATCTAACGAGAAAAATATGGAAATAAATTTTTTTATTGTGAGAAATTATTTCATAACGAGTAGGAGAAAGTTGTTGTTACCTGATTCTTGAGATTCTGTTTATGTTTCAGCAGAGATGAGAAAACAAAAAAAAAGAAAGACAAATTTGATGTTAATTAGATTCAGTGGATTTGAAGATAAGATGAGGTAATGTGGGAAATGTTTTTAATATGCGTGGTAACATGGCTTATAAGTATGTTGACATTAAACATTTGGAGAGGTAAGGATAATTGCGCGAAATGATGTCAGAGTTGGCAATAAACTCAACTCATACACATGATAAGCATTAATGGAACTTGAATGATTTTGCATAATCATGATGATCGTGTTTCGGCCAACATTGTATGCTGATTTATGCATTGTATTCAAATTATGTGAAAATAAATATGCTTCAAAGCATAAGTTGTGAAACTTTTCAATTTAAATGTAAATTAAACCAAAAATGTCTGAAATCATAAAAATGGAGACGAAATTTAGATGTTGATATTAATTGTGGGAAATTATTAAATGTAATGATGGAAATATTTCGAGTTCATTGGTCTGAAAGAATCTGTCAATAAATTTGGACATAAAATAATTCAATTCACTTACAACATCAATCAACTGTGATAGACGTAAACCCATTTTCACCGTTAAACGATCCGAATTGTTGCCCACGGGCCGTATCAAGCGATTATAATTGCTCAGTAAGTCGTCATATAAACGTTTTGAATCTGGATTGGCCTTCCCAATGGCAAATTGTAGCGCTATGAACCCAGCCGCAACAAGAACGCTCCCCATCTTAGGCCAGGTCCACCCCTATAACAAAAAGGAGAAATAATTCCATTAGCTACAGTTAATTAAAGCAAATTTTCTTATTTTCGGGATGTTAAATTTATGTATGAAGACTTCAATTTACGTTTATTCATATCCAAACCAGTATTCATTAAAAATATGTATTAGCATCAGATCTCTTGATAAGTATTGTGGAAATTCTTCTACGAGATAAGGATAAGATTTAAACTTTGTGAATGCGATGCACGAACGAATAATTCAGCCAGAGAATGGTGTGAGAATCACTCATTTCAACTCACAAAGTTTGTAAAGTAATTAAAATCTCTTGAAAACTTGATGATTTCGTCGAGAGAAAAGGAAGGAAAAAAGTTTAAAGAATTATTCCACTGTTGATAAAAACGAACATTAAGGCTGCATTCTTTAGAGAATAAAAATAAATTCGGACTAACGAAGGAATTCGAGCAGAACATTAATGAAAACATTTGCAGAATTTTTATTTCTATCCCTACCATCTCGATACTTAATCTTCATTTTCACCCGCTTCATGATTGCGATTTTAAAGACAGGTCTAGGCAAGTGGGTAAAACAATTTGAATTTTATGTTCACATCAACCTCAGGATCATTTCGTTCCTTTTCTCCTTCTGTTTTTATGTGATGTCTAAATTTAAGAAGCTTTCCTCCTTTCTATATAAATGAAACTTTCTCATTCCACCATCCAACATAAAAACCTTCTTTAGAATAACAAAACCTTTTCGTGTTACATATTTTATGTATTGTTCTATTTTTAAACTTGAAATCTTTTTAAGGATTCGAAAGAGAAAACAACCAAATACAAAATGAATAAAATTGAATATTTTATTATTAGATGATACGGTGATATTCGAATTACCGATTGAACATTGAACGGCAAAATCGAATGCCCTCGAGTAATATGAGACTATTGACAATCAACAGTAACAATCGAGAATTCAATGGAAATCTTATTTTAGAAAAAGGCAAACAAGGCCCAACACTTTAAATAATTATTTGATGAGAATGTTTTGAAATAAAAGTAGATAAGTCGAAATATTTTCCTAATTTTCACAATCTTTTGAGATGGTTAAAAATTTCTTCATGAAAATCGATTCAATTGCAAGCTGAGAAGTCGAATCAATGAAAGTGAAGAAGAAAATATTTACGGGCTTACGGCTAACTGAAATAAATATATGTGAGAATATAAATCTTTTTGTCTATTGATTTTAACCAGCTTGATATCAATCTTTCGTCTGGTCAAGTGACAAAAGAGGTTTTCTCAAGTAAATATTTTTGTCATCGTTTCTTTCCTTCTTCCGGCATCGAAAGTCTTTGTGTAATTTACGACTGAAATTCATCGTCGTCGTCGTCATCATCCACATCATCATCCACAAGCTAAAACCCCACCCATCACTCAGTTACTTCATATTTTTTTAGACTTTAAGATGATGAGGAAGAAACTCAGAAAGCATCTTCCGGGATTCTTTCTTTAGCTTCGCATGATGACGAAAACGACGACGAAGAAAACGCTTATCTGAATGATTCCATAAACCTTTGTGTTCAACGATATTTCCTCTTCGTTTAATTTTATGCCGGGCCCATTTTCAAGTTCAATAATGTCTCGTAAATTTTAGAAATAAATCACTTAGATATCACAAACTTAGAACATGAAATGATTTTTAAATCAATAATAATCGAGTGATTTCTAAAAAGAATTCGTTTCTGCTACCTCTCGTGGTATTTAACTTTAATTGTATTCAAAGGCATGAAATGCATGATTGATTTTTAAAGAGCATCAACTGATACATCTTTCGCCCCCTTACAAAAGCATTAACGGGTTATCGTAAATGTATACTGTCAACTGACGACTTGACGACTTCAACGAGCATTTGATGCTGATGATAGCAGTTTTTTTCTTCTCATCATCCCATTGAATTAAATATTTGGTGACTTTGAAAAACTGTTTTCTCATGATGGTGGTGGGGGAAGGTCGAGAAGAGGCATTCTTTAGCTTACTTTTTCGAAAGCCTCAGTGATAATAACAGAATGAAAAGAAGGAAAGGAAAAAAGAAGAAGGAAAATTGTACAATGTCATTTGAAAGCGTGGTTAAATAGCAGCGCATCCTCCATCTAATACACGCCATTGTCGACGAACTGTCACTCGAAAATAGACTAACGACTCCCTTCTAAGAAGGGATTGAGATTCCATTTCGCATTCCACTCTGAATATTAGTTTCATGGATGAATCCTGCTTTAGATAATATTTCATTCACGGTACATTTAACTCCAGTTATGAAATTACTGCAACCGACCGAACGAGGAGGAAAATTTTCTTGGGCACCTACAACATTATCTTTAAAATTCCATCCATTGCTCTATCTTGTCTTTCTCCTTATTTATGTGAACTTTTTTTCTAAGGCATCAAGAAAAAAAAGGATGCAAAGCCGAAAAACGAAACCTGCTTAATATTCCACTTAAATATCATGTCGTGAAACGAGCTAAACTGTGAATCAATTGAAAATTTCTTTTCCGTTCCCTTGGATCATAAAATGATGAATCATCGGTTTTTTCATAATTTACCACACGTGCCAGACTAGTTTAGTTGACAGAATTCGATGATGATTTTGCAATAATTGGAAGATATTTATTCCGCTTTGGTAACTTTATAGTTACAAGATTTAACCGAACAGTATTTTGATTAAAGGAAGGAAGAGAAACGTTAACGATGTCGTCTCTGTTGGCAGATTTAACTTGTTGAAAGTGCACTGAAGCATCACGAGAAAACTCTCAAGCATAAATGCACAGCTTGTTGTTTCTCAGGAAAATATAAAAATTTGTTCAGTGGGAAAGATTTTCAAAACTTCAATCTGAGTTTGATTTCGATCGCAAAATGTCAATGGAAAAAAGAGAAAAAAAAACAATGTCGTCGTTTGTATGCAGTGCATAAGTAATTTCATGCTGGAACGTCTCCGGATGGGAATCAACTTAACTTTGAATTCTTTAAATGCTTAAAAGATGTTTTTTTTTTCTTTCATTCTTTCATCGTTGAAAAGTTTTTCCTTATATTCGAATCTTCTTCTTTATTTTCTGAGATGATGCATTAAGATAATTTTTCAATAATCCCCAAAAGCATTTATTTTCATCATTTCTTTACTAAGGGATAAAAAAGGCAAAACTGTAATTGAAACAAAAGGGAAACGAATTTTATTGAATTTTAGTCAGCAAGAAAAGGCTGTAAGTGGTGAAAACAAGTACAGCTCGATCATAAAATAATGGCTGATATGTGACATATTTTTATGCTGCGCGACATAATTCTCTCCCTATTCTGTGTGTGTATATTTTTTTTTATTTTGCTGATGCTAAAATGCTATCAACACATATCGAACTGAGTGGCTGCTTTGGAGCGAGACAACAGAAAAGAGGTTCAGAGTGTAATAAATTTTTTTTATGTACTATTCATTCTCCATTCTTGTCTCTCACTCTTTCCTTCTTTTTTTTCAAAACCCTAAAAGCACACGCAGTGTCGCTCGTTGACCGAGAAAAAATGTCGGTGTAAAAAATAGCAAATAAATTTGAAATGGAAAATTTATTGGTAATGTTGACGGTATAGCGATGCGATTCATCACACAAACCGACATAGAATATAAAAGTAAGAGAGACGAAAAAATGAAACAGGGACAAGGATGAATACGAAGAAGAAGAAAAATAAAATTCAATTTCACAAATTGATTTGTGTCATGTGCGGCAAGAGACAACGACGAACAAGGTTTCGAGAATTCTTCTATGAAGGTGAGAGTAGCTATGGGAGTACAAACTTATATTACTTAGAAGCTCGGTCAAATTCACAGCTTTTCAATGCATTCACCAAGAGCGGAAATAAAAAAGGACAAGAGAAGCGATCATTTTTAATAGGATTAGGATCAGAAATGGTCATTATCATCAATTCTTCAGTTCGTAACTCACATCAAATTCTCTTCTCTATTGCTGTTCTCAACCAACTAATCCTGACAAATGGAAAGCGGTTTTATTGGTATTTAGATTCATGTTCAAATTAATGTTTGTACGATTTTGGTCAATGAACATTCGACCTTCAATCAGCGCTTAAATATGTCGCACAAATCTCAAATAGTTTCCATTTTTGCACTTTCTCAACCAAGAACGTTAATTCGCTAATCCTAACAAATATTTTGGTTGTTCATGTTTCATGGGAAGCTTTAAATTATTTTATTATGTTTTAAACGGGATGTTAGATGAGTTTATAGAGTTCAGGTCAGCAAAGATTTTATTTCGTTGAGTTGAATAACTTTTTTCAATTTTTGGCATATGAGAATCTGAAGAAATACTTTTTAATGCAAAAAAAGTTTCATCATGTTCTTTTCTTTTTTGGAAAATTCTGTGCAAATGTATTCGACTTGAATTTTTGAAACCTTCAACGAGATTAGTTTGGAACGATGAAACATTACGTAACAATTTCTTCTTCGAGCATACGAACATATTCATTAAAATAATAATTTTAAGTAACTTTCAATGTTCATTCGAGCTTTTAACAAATTGGGCAAATTGATAGCTTGTATTAGTGAATACCCAAAGTTTCTCTGTAAATTCTCTGCACACTTCATCATTATAGAGATAATTAATTTCATAATATTCCATAATATTGCTAATGAGGTGAAGTTTCGTATTCATTAACAAGATCACTCGACAGTCTATGTAATTAGCATATTGTTTACAAGACAAATTCTATTCTTGTCACAAGCGTAATGTATCTTTGACAACAGTTTCAAAACAAACAGAAAAGTTTTTTCTCCCTCTTTAATAAATTAATGACACATCGATCTGTCATTCGATAATAAACATCTCTTATCTCTCAAACAAATGAATCATATTTGAGTCAATAAATCGTCTACAAGCTGAAAATTGAAATCTCCTACGATGGGAAAAGCTTGGGCAGAAGAAGAGAAAAGCTTATTCAACATAATGGAATTGTGTGTCCCTTTTTTTATCCAGCTCGTTTCAAAACAAGTCGGAAGAGAATCGAAGGCAATATTTCCACCAAGACCTAAATCAAGAAGAATTTCTTCGTTCGAATCGTAGAGGACGCAACCAAAGTATTCATAAAATACTCTCGAATTCCAATGTCCAATTACTTCCCTCTTTGATGCTATGCTCGGCGACTTTTATTTTCCTTTTTTGCTTAAATCACAATATCTCTCTCGTCGCTCGAAAATGATCGTAATAGGAACAACATTAATCTTATTAATTTGACATGATTTATATTCAATGTATTTTCCATACTGAAAAAGGACATTTTTTCCATCATTTGCTATCTCTCTCTATCACTTTTGTCGCTAGCGAATAATGAAAGCAGAAGTAAAATTAGAATTATAGTCGTCCGGTCTACGCCATCTTTCCTCATTGTCGTCGTAACGTTCAGTGGAAAGTATAAAGCCGCAACGTCACTATGGTACACAAAATAACGAAAAGAGAAAAAGGCAAACGATGGGCCACCAAAACACGTTATTCTTGAGTTAAACGACAATCGTACAACGGGAGGTTCCTTTAGGGAACGGGAGTTGGAGCAAAAGGGATCGTAAATGCTAATTTTATAATTACATTTTTGTGTCCTCTATCCGGCTATCATTAATTCAATTTTGCTATTATGAAGCTTTTTCATCTCTTTTGTCTCTTTCTCTCACAACTTTTTTATATTTTTTCTTCCTTGTTTTAATTTTCATTTTACAAACGTCAAACAAATAAAAAAAATGCTTCCCTTGGTAGATGACCAGATTTTTCATCACTCGTTTAATTTTACGGTATTTTAGATCTTTTTCTTTCTTAGCTAAGAATTTCTTTTTTTCTGTATGAATTATGAATTATGAGAATCTGTCAATTAAGAGAGTTTGTTGTTTTAGTTTTCTTTTCTTTTGGACTTTGTTTGAGTGGAAAATTGAAAACTGAGTTGAAATTTGAAACGTTAAAACCGTGAAAATTTTGTTACATTGTCTTGAGTGACAGGAAGTTTGCGTTGCCGTGTTATTGTTACCGAAATATTCAATTTCCTATGTCCAATAAATTGTCTTCAATAACTGTTTGTTATAGAAAATGAGTAATCTAGTAAGCGAGTTTCGCAATCCTTTATATCTCAACCATCATCAGCATCACCGGAGCGAACGAATCGAGAGAGATATTGAGGAAAGTTTTAATTAAAAACTATTCATTTAAAATGGGAACTAAGAAAATTACTTTTCAAATGCTTTTATAACGGAATGGAAAATTTTGTCGCTAACTTTTCATTCTTTTCCCTTTCTCGTTTGTTCGTTTTTCTCGCTGAAAATTCCGATAAAACTAATGAAGAGTATTTCCGTGATCGAAATTTTAATTAAATTCCAATACTTTCGTTCAGGAAAATGAAGCAAATGTCGGGAATGAAGACGAAATTTGTTATTTGTTTGTGTGTAAGTAAGTCAATCAATTAAAAGTAGGAGAAAACTTTTCTGTGAATTTTAAGTTTTAATCGTCAGCTTCAAGATGAAAAGTTGAAGGAAAATGAACAGAAAGAAAATAAAATTCAATGATTTCGAGGATTTTGTGATAGTTTTCTTAATAAACTTCAAGGTTGGAGTCAATGATTTCCTTCGGAACATTGAATAGAATTCGATTTTACAATTTTTTGATATTATTCGTAATTCGCATTGAAAAACTTTTCCAATAACACTAAAGATTAACTTCAACCCTTGAAAACTTCGAACAGCCATGTCAAGAAAGAAGACAAAAGCAGTATCTGGTTTTAATTAAAGACTCATAAAAACTGTTACATCCTTATCCTTTTTGTAAGCTTCGTTTTTTCCCTTCCAATTCATTTCATGTTTGTGTCGTTTCTTCTTCCTTTTTTGGTTTCAAACGATGCTGTAATAATATTTTATTATTTTTCACCCCAGGAGATTAACTTTTCGCTCATTATGTGGTGGTTCTTCAGAGATGAAATCGAGAATTTGAGTTGAACACGACACAACTGTTGGGGGGAGCTTTTTTTTTCGTTTTTCTCAACATTGAGTGCAACTTTGAAGTCATTAAAGTGCCTCCGGTGTGACACGAGTAAAAAAGATTTTTTTTCCATAAACTCATTTTCGATTAGATTAAAGATTTAAAGATAAATAACATTGTAAAAATCCTCGAACCTTGTCGCATTCAAACAAATGCTTTCTTAACCAAAGAAGAAAGAAAAAGTTAAAAGCTTTTTCAAAACTGATTATCGTCTTTAGACTTTTTCCTCGTAATCTTCAATTTGTCAGTACTAACATATAAAAATTATTGGATTTGCTAAACATAAAGTGACAAAGATTGAGCAAACTGGTTAAGTGCTTTCTTTTTTTTTCATCGAAAGCTTTTTCCACATTGATGCGTCATCATAAAATTATAACAACTGAGTAAAGAAGCTCAAACAAATCGATAATTTTTACCTTGAAAGCTTTTCTTTGTATTAAAGAAATAAATTTGTTTCATCTCACTTCCAATAAACGTTCGTTCGTGCTCTTGCAAAAATTATGATTTAAATCACTTTCTTTTGGAACATTGCTAGCTATGGCGAAGAGAAGAAGGAAAAAAATGGAAATTGTGCTACGTAAATTCATAAACTCATTTTGAGTTCAATATCGCATTATTTGATTCACAGAAACGACAGAGAACTCTCGCATACGAAAATTCGTCGACAGATATTATCATCATCAGCATTTTCCATCATCATGATCATTGATTCAATCTTTTTGTGCTCTTTTTCCTTTTCGTTTATCATTATAATAATATCAATATAAACGAAGCTCAATATAATATCTAATATATTTGTGAGGCTCAAATCGTGTTTGCTTTCTTCTCATTTTTTTCCTTTTTGAAATGAATCGCAATTGTTGAGAGGCAACGTCGGTATAGATACAGAAAAGGTGATAAAAGGCCTTTTCTTTTTAAAAGAAAAGTATTATTACAAAGCGAAAGCTTGTTCATTCAACTTAATCTTATTCGACCTTGTATTGTTTCCTATTTCTGTCTCCATTACAAACAACGAAAGTTAACACCATTTTCTTGATTTTTCTTAGCAAGTATTCGCTTTCACACATGACAACAAATAAATCCTCATTTGTTGAGCAGTAATCGAATCAATCATTTGCTACTTCATTGAAAATTTATAAGAAGGTTGATGAATGCGATGTTCCCACAGATGTGATACGATCAAAATGTTAAACAAAGATATGCAAACATTAACTTAGCATTTAAGATTTAATTTTGCGATGAATTATAATAAAAAAAATAATTTTGCGGTTCACTTAAGCATGAAAGTAATGGATACACTTCCTTAAACAGAAAAAAATTATAAGTGAACAATTCTTTCCATCACTCCCCCATAAGAGAATTTCTTTTTTTCGTTAATTTGATTCACTCATAAAATTTATGAATATTAAGAGTATGCCAAGTTTCTCTCAAAATGAATATAAATATTATCAAGAAAGTCTCAAAATTTAAAAAAACTTTTCGTGCTCCTTCATTCAACAAAAAAAAAACCATAAAAATTTATTGAAAATTTGGCACATTGTAAAAGTTTTTTTTAACGTAGCAGAGCTCTGTGATGAACCTCCCGTGCGTCAGCGGAAATGTTAAAAAAACGACGGTTACATAAAGTCTCGTTATGTTAAATATTAACGAGCGTTTCTTAAACATTTCCATGGAAAATTTTCTTTCCTGTTGTAAACTTAATGTGCACTGAATAATATCAAGAACGCTGATCTCAAAAGGAAGAAAAACGCTCTAAGACATGGAAAAAGTTATTAAGAAACGTTATTATTCGTTATTGTGATTCAAGATATCAATTTTGTCAACAATTTCTACTTGAGAACTTCAGAAGTTGCGTGGAAAACACAACGTTTAATGGAAGAAAAACCTCACGTTAAAGTTACCAAAATTTATATTACAAAATCTTAAATTAAATGAAACTGATTTGTCCAAAATGAAGCTTAAATGTTCAACACAATCTCCGCCGAAGTTTCTTACAACAACATTCAATTTATCATTTTAAATTAACTTAATTCAACTCGGAAACGACGGAAAATATTTTTTGACAAGCGTGATTTATTATATACAAAATAAAAATTTGTGGGAGTGAGTTTGGGATAGAGTAAAAATTCGTCAAATGGGTAATGATTAGAAATTTTGACTTTAAGAGTCAATAACTTCTTTCTGCATTACGTTTTTTTTATTATTAAAGTTTTAAAAGATCAATCAACTTATCAAGAGTTGATTTGTCTTTACAGAAAAAATCTACAACATCTACTTTCGTTACACGAGAATGAAAAGTAGACACTTTAATGTGGTCATATAAAATCGATTGTGGACACATTGCTCGATCGTTTGTAGGTAGTGTTTGAACCGGGCAACAACGTTTTAAAAAAAAAGTTATATGTATTGAAATAAATAAAAATACTAGGAAATCAATAAAAGTTATGTCGATACAACATTTAATTGATTGCAATTTATGTTTATGATGTAATTCCGATGTTTTAAATCGATAATAAGAATAAATTTAGTGATGCTCACTTTTTGAAAAATTGTTTGCCGTTAAATTTTTAAACAAGCCTCCATATAAAAATTATGTGTCCAAATTTGATCACGAAAATGTGTGAGCAAATGTTTTAATAGTTTATTTAATACAAACTATTATGAAATTTTCTTTCATCAATTCACTTCTGCACATGATTTTCTATCTTTTTGTGCAGTTGAAGAAGAAAAATAACTTGAATTAATAAGTTTTTTCGCATGTTGAAAAATCGAAGTGAGAACAAAAAATGGCGGGTTTTGAAACAGAATTTCTATGATGAAATGAAATAATTTATTTTGGGAAATTAAACTCATTTAAAGGCCCAGTGAGTAGCCTAAAATGAAATTTACTCCCAAAACTATCAACACGTATTTTTTTATTGCTGAAAAAATAAAATTTAAGACCTAAATATTAACAAGTTAGGTGTCCAAATAAGATACTACCCACAAACGATCACTCACCAAATTCGGTAAATTACTCTACACCAAAACGCTTGCAATTCTTGCCATTTAATTTATAAGTCGCGCATATTTTAAGAAATCTTCTTTCTTATGCTGTCGAATATTTTGTTTTGCTTTTGTCTTTCATTCATCTCAGGCAACATTGAGCGCAATCTGTATCATCTGCTAACAAATCATTGGGGACATATGACGTAATTTCATTTAAATATTTGCTTCATCTTTGGCTTCGTTTCACTAAATTAATGTAAATTAAGACATATTTATGTTTTTCCGCTTTTATATCATAGAAGTTCACAAAGCAGTTTAGCCGTTTTCACTTTTATTTTATTCATACCGCCATTTCTTCCACTTCCTGTACGCTTTTCCTCTGCTAGCAGAATTTTAAAAGCATGCAAATGGAAAAATTAATTTAGCGCTTTTTCCCTCTAATTCACTTTCTTACATAAATTTATACCAATCGTCTTTCAAAACTTTTACGAGTGAAATTTTCAAGGTTATTTAAAACGAGGAAAAACAAGCCAGAAGAGTTTCCCATCTGTGGTCAATGTTTTGGTAATTGATACAACGATTCGCCATGCAATCGCGGTCGTAAAAATAATTGTTACTGTTATTGCGTTCATTTTTATTACGCTAGGATCTATGAAAAAACACAAACATTTTTCTCACGTTTGCTTTTAGACAAAATGTTCGCGTTTGACTTTAGATTTTCATCATTATTTCTAAATTATGTTGGCGAAAAGGAAAATTATGTCAGCAATAACTGAGCAGTAACAGTTTTATTGCTTCCAAAGAAATAGTATAACAATATCTTAAAATATCTTTTTCATGATTTACGCTTCGTGAAGCTCTAAATTCTCATCTTGAATGAGAAGGGAAGGAAAGAAAAGAATAATAAGAAAAGACAACATAAGTTGTATAAACCAAGAATAAAAAATGCTTTTAAATTAAAGTAGAAGTTTTCTACCCGCAAAGATATTTTTACATAAATAAGTTCAAGAGTAAAAAGTCTGCTGCCTATTTGCAATAAAAAAATCTTGTTACATATATCCGGATCACTTAAATTAAACGTTTCGAATGATAACGGATGATATGATGATTCTCCATCGTTCAATCTTCCACTTTTTTCAACTATCGTTCTCTTTTTTTCCCATAGTTTTGTCTGACGTTTGTTTTCGTTTCTTTTTTATTGCTTTCTGCTTGTCGCTCTACTTCTTTCACCCCACACACACACTTCTCAATTTCATCAGGAACTTTCCTCTCGTTTTTGTGCTTTTGATAGTCGTCGCTTTCGGGAGTCTTTTTCATTCAAGCGAATTACTTGATTAAAGAAAAACAAAATGTTCCGTAACAAAAACCTCAATCACTTCGAGTGAATATGAAGGGTTGGTTCATCAATAAAGCTTAAAACAGAAATTGGGAAACATTGCTTGCGATAAAATCTTTGTAGAAAACATCTCAAACCAGAAACATTTTCTTATGTTCTTATGTGCTCCTAATGAAGATGTCAAAACTAATGGTTATGTAATATGCTGTTTTGTTATCACGAGAATAAAAAGCTTTTATATGTATACAAACATGAAACGACTGTTGAGAAAATGCCATGTGCATGGTTTTGTGCTTCGAACATCAAGAAGAAAAAATTCTTTAAAAAATACACAGAAAATGAAGAGATCAAAGTAGAAAGAAATGTCCTTAGGGTGATATGAGAACTCATCCACAAAAGAAAACATTTTCGTACTTTGCAACCGTAAAACTTTACTGATCTTTAATTCTCTTCTCAGAATATTCTTATTCTTTCATCAACATCGTAGCAGTCACATAAATGATGAAAGAATCAATAGAAGAATGTCTCCAGCTCAAAAGCTACTGTCAAAATATCAAATTGGCGCCGGCAGAGATCTTCTTTATGGCAGTTTCTCGCTTTTTCTGTCTTACCAAATACTTAAATATGAAAAAAGATGGGAAAATCTTCTATTGACTGTTTTCCTTTTTAAGCAACCACTTCGAAGCAAAACGACGGGAGAGACAGAAATTGAATAAAATTTTATGAAAACATTTTTATAATGTGTGCGTTTCAAAGTGTTTCTTTCCCCATCACTTGCCAAGCACGAAAAAAAATTATGTTTCTGACAAATTGATTTTCCTTGTGCTTTTCACTGAATGCATAAAAAGTGTTAGCGCTCTTAATTCAAAGTGAATGCATGGAAGAGCGATTTAACTCAACAAGGAAATTGTTTCACATTTATGTGACATGCGAAGGAGGAAAAGAATCGATCGAAGGAGAAGGAGCCAAAGGAGAATGTCGGTTAATTGACAGTTAAATTTATTTTAAGTGATTGGAAATACTTCCAAAATATTTATTGCCAGCTTATGGGTTTTATGTTTATGAGTGAAGATTAAAGAAAAATTTACTTCTTATTACGTTTAACATCTGGAAACTCTAAATATTCTTAAATGTACGTTGTTCTAAAGAATTCAATTTCATTTTAAATTGCTCCATAAATAGTATTTTAAGACATTGGATATGTTGTTATTTTTATTTTACAGTAAAAATGATCATGCAGACTTTCTAAGCACACAAAGTTTAACAGATAAAAGAAAAGTTTCAGCAAGATTTCGTGACATTGAAGATTGAGGAAAGAAAAGGCAGAAAAAAATTTTCTTTAAGCAACATAAATTACTGTTTTATCTTGAGACATGGAGCCATTTCAGAAACATAAAAATGAAGGAAGATTCTTCATAGAGCTTAAAACGCTTGAACAAAAATCAATAAGAAATAAGCCTTTTCCTTTTTTTGTCTTGTATTCGTTTGATTGCAAAGAAGTCTTCAATAGAATTTTTTTTATTAAAGATAATTTACCACGAAGCATTGAGTTTAAGTTAGATAACAGTGGTAACAACAACACAAAAAAAGAGAAAAGTCGGAAAAGGTAAATTTTTCTTTCCCATCAGTCATTGTGATGGATACAATGATTTGAATCTGCGGACAAAGAAGAGAAGAAACAAAATTATATTCTTTTGTTATACCTATTCATATATGTATGAATCTTATAAGAATATTTATTGATCGAAAATGGAAAGGAGGGAAAGTTTGAAAAAAATAACAATTTTTAGGAAAAAAAACCGAAGAAAAAAAATGGAAACTCATGTGGTGGAAGAAGAAGTAAAAACCTTTTGAAAGAAAGAAAATTGAATCTTTCCGCTTTTAAACCCTTTCGTCTGTTGTTATATAATCAAATATAATTTAACCAGAAAGCAAGAAAGCAAGTTGAAGAAAAGTCTCGACAAACATTTAGGAAATATTGTCTGAATGAATCGAAGTAATCAGATGATTTCTTTGGAATGTAAAATAAAAAAAATGAAACGATAATCTATCAAGATTGAAACCACATCTTCCAATGAAAGATTATTTTATTCATTTATGTACATGCTTAACGATGAGAGATTCTAAAGCTTCCCCTTCAAAAATCATGCACGTCTTTTGATTCACCCTCAAAGATTTTTTTCTCCTTCGCTATTTACACAATCGTCTCTTCATTATTTCTTATTTGACTTTGCTTCCAACTCACATTATTTGATCAAGATTTCATCTCAAACAGAGAAAGCTTTCATCTTGTTAGAACTTCTCTCAGAGGAAATAATTTTGCTTTACAATTTTTTTTTGTTGAAATGGCGCCGATACTTAAACATTTGACTACTGCTCTAATTAATTTTCTTAGACGTTAATTGATTTCTCATTCAATTTTGTATTTATCAAGAACGAGTTGTCATGAAACAATATAAGATTCTAATCTTCCTGCCTTTCATTCGCTAATTAAATATTTAATTTATCTACTTTTGTGAATGTAGAAAAAGTTTTATTACACTTCTACGCTTTTGTTTGGACATGAATAAACGTACAAAATCATCTATAAAAGTTAAAACAACTTACGGTCGTTCCGCAAAACGGTGCATTGCCTGTGAGTGACAGCAGTCTTCCGCCTCTGCTGGAACCACCTCAAAGAAGAAGGTGGCGCCGTTGCCTCGAACACAAAAATTTTATCAAATCCAAAATTTTGTACCCTTCAATGCTTGTTAACAATTTTTATTTCTTTCTTCTGCTGTTCTTATCAAAAGGAACAAGATGAAAAAGAAAACTTTTGCACTTCTTTCGTTGAATGGCAAAGTTTTCTCTTTAAGCCAACAAATAACTTCAGAAATCAGCAATATTCGTATTAATTAAGACGGAAAAAGCGAATTCATTGAGGGCCGTCAGACGGAGAATAAAACTTTTTATCACTTTCAAGTCGAGACTAAGTTGATGATACTGATGTGAATTGAACAACTATTGAAATATTGTATAATTCTCTTCGTATCTTTCGTCTGCTAATTTGTTAATAATTTATTTACTCCTTCTTGGAAGATGAAATTATATATTTTCCTTTACTTCCACTTGATACACTGACTGCGACGTTAATCGAAGCATTAATTTATTCTTCACTGTTTTCGCACTGAACATTTCACAATACAACGACTGCTAACCTGCCGTATCACTACGCCTTGTATTGGCTTTCAATCTGATGAACAATTCATTAGCCATTAATTTTTAAACAGATCTCGTTTCTCTCTTTTCACTAGGTCGTGTTATGACTCTGTTTTATTCATTTTATGTAGCTTTCAAATTCACGGGTGATTTATGACACGATTTAGTTTTTGTAGTCTCTTCTTTTTTTTCTTTTGTTTGTTTTTGTTTTCGATCAGCTATTTCATTTTGATTCACTGTTTAATTTTTTAGACATTTCAGCTGAAATTTAAGTAAGGGAAAAACGGATTTGTAGATGAAAGAAGAGTACATATTTGCTTATGCTTGTGTGTGGGAGGATTAAAATGAAATACGTTTATTTATGTACGGTTAGAATCAAAACTAATTACGAGATAAACTCTTCGTTTTGTGAATGAAAAGCATCATTCTATTCAGTTCCGATGTTCACATTAGGGAAGAATATTAAGGAAATGTTTTTATTCAATAAGATTAGATATAAGATTTTCATCATATCAAGAAAGCCTCTCACGATAAAATCTCATCATCATATATAGAACCAAAATCCTTACAAATGGTATGAAAGTTAAATCAATAATCTAAGCTTCTGAAAATCCATTAATTTATTAACGGTACACCAAACACTAGACTACAATTCTCTACTGCATTATCATGAATCATTTTTACACATTTACGACAGAAGAGAGTGAAATAAAAAGGTTAAGTAATTATTGGAAGCCTTTTTTAAGTGAGTATACATACAAGCATAAATATAATGGTGCGGGTCAGCAAGCGAGGAAAAAAAAGTACGACTCGCCACAGCTGAAAATCTCTCAAATATCCCCGACTCAGCAATAAGCATCGTCTCTAAAAGCTGTGAGAATATTGAACGAACCAACCTCCCAAATTCAGACTTTTAATACCAGACGGGATCAGAAAAGAGAAGGAAAGAAACATAAAGGCTTTTGATTACTATCATTGAGAATGATCTTCATCCGAGACCTTGAGAAAAGTTATTGTCATATGATGAAACTAACCCCCTGTCAAAAAGAGGCTGAAAAAAGTCGTCCCAGCAAAACATAAAAATCGCACTCAAATGACAACATATAAAAACTGGGTGTGGTATGTAGATTTCTCATCCCAATTTAGCGCATTGGCATTATCCTTTTTTCTCGCATTTTTCTCTTCTTTATTATATGAATGTTTTGTGACATGTTTATGCGATAACATAATAAAACTGAACAAAGAAAGAAAGTCTCAAATCGATGAGAAGCATCAATACAATTTCTAAAGCTTCAATGTTATTTTTCATATATTTTTCAAATTGAAGAATAGATAAAGAAAAATAAAATTAACAAAAGAAAATATTTATAAACACTGAATAATATATGAAAAAACATTTTGTATCTTTGAACTGTTTTTGTTTGCAATATTTTGAAAAAACTGAAGCATGAAGTCATATAAAGAAGAAATTGTGCTTTTGTCTCTTCATTCCATCCATGCTTGGCATACATAACTATTCAAGTAACTTTCTTCCATCTATTCTCCCTCTTTTTCTCATTTATAATGAAAAACTACTTAAATATACACACAACAAAGATTTCCGTTTGTTGTGCATAGTGAAATGAAGTGAAATGTAAGGAGAGGGCGACCTCATGAGATTGCCGATTATCGATCGTCGTATGGCATTATCAGATCATTTATTTGTAATTTATGCATCAATTGGGCATTTCATTCTATGTCTTTTCATGTGACGATGTAAAGAGGTTGAATCTTGACGGGATAATGAGATTTGCGATAAACCACAGCATCAATGACTATGAAAAATCAATCTTGTGGATTTAACTCAATCAAAAAGGTATTCGTTCTATTTATAAGATTGAAATCTTAGATATTGATTTTAACATCAGACAATTTCATCAATTTGAGTCTCTCACCTTCTTATGTTCAGCTCACGACGTCTACACATAAATGCACTTGAACAACCAATAAAATGAGCAAATCTTCAATGATTTGATATTCATTCATTCCGTCATCACTCTCTTAACACCTGTACGATGTTAAGTGAAGTGGTGACATGAGATATGAAATATTAATTTCGACATGTTCGAGTTGAATAGCATTTTAAACGAGAACCGCGTAATTTGCAAGTTGTGGTAAATTTTTGACGAAATAAACTTATCCGTTTAATTTATGTTTCTGTTTTTGCATTCAACATGATTTAGGCGGAGAAATAGGCGAGAAAAATGGACAAAAAAGAAAACAAAAACTAACATTATTAATTCAATATTTCGGCTCATTTCACCCTCTGTAAATATTGCAAGATTTTTTTTTATGTTGTTGACTCTTCTGCTGTCCGCATCAAATGATAAGAAGAGTCTTGAAGAGCTTTCATCATTAATTTTTTTATTAAATTAATTGCTAGGCATCATGAATAGCATGAAAAGTGATAAAAGTTACTGGTAATTGTGGAATTAATTAGAAATATTCCCCAGAAAGTAAACAATTATTGACTTCGATTCTTTAAGACACGAAATAGGTTCATGGATCAGAGTGGAACGTTGAGTAAAGCACTTGCTTGAATAGATAACAACAAAGAACATCATTGACAAATCGTAGCTGACTAAATAAATGTCTAAATACGCTCTGAATGTTATTTGAATAAACGTTACGAGTATGCTTCTGAATTTTCATAGAATATTGTGCCTCTGAGTTCTTTCAATCAATTTGGAGATGACGGACCGGTTTCTTGGGGCTTCTTAACGATATTAAATATTAAAACTTTTTCTTTTTATTTTCAAATTGTGAGCGAGATTAAAGTAAAGATTTCCTTCTTCACAAATTAAAATTGAATTCTTGAAAATCTTATAAGTTTCTTTGACAGATGCCATATGATTTGTTTGGGATAACAAAATGTCGTTTTTTCAACGACTTTTTTCGTCAAATTAGGTATATTCCAAAATTTGAATTGCTTATATAAAAACAGAAAAAAGAATTCTTCAATACTCTGACAAGAAAGGCGAGAAAGATTTTCCTCCTTATCTTTGTCATGCTTCCTTAATCGCTCAAAAATAAAAGAAAAGAAAAACCTAAGAGGTTTCCCATGAGGATTAACGTCGCACAGAGTTTTTAAATGTACGATTCTACTTTCGATCTGAGGCTTCAAAAGGAATAAAAGTTTTCCATGAACGATAAAAGCAAACTTTCGGAAACAATCTGGTTTTGAGCGAGTTATTTGAGCAGGGTTGTTTTACTTATGATGAAGTGATATTGAAGGACGTAACCAAGCTTCAAAAGTTTCAAACAAAAACAAAAAGGTGGAAGGAATTACACATTTCCTGAGCACTCTTTGAAAAAGTTCAGCAAGAGCAGCAGCAGCAGCAATGTAAATTCACTTTAATTGTCCTTACAACTCACAGAATTTTACATTAAAACTTTGATCCTTTTCTTTACATTTTCCATATGCAAAACAAATTTTCCACCACTTGAACTTCCCCCACACACACTGACAATATTCAATTCTTTCATCTCGCTTCTCAGCACAAAAATGTTGAAAAAATGTTCCACTGCTGCTGTTTAAAACAGAAAGGGAGAACATATAAAAACTCCTAACTTTTTCTTTCTCGAATGAGAAGCTCTTGAATTAATGTTTCTGAGTTGTTTTCAATGGTTTAAAATTTACTTTTTAATTTTAATAATTCACAGAAAAAATCACTCACAAATTCTCATGGCGACTTCAAATTTCACTCTTTACATGTTTTCATTTTATTTTCTTCTTTTTTATCTTCCTCAACTCTCTACAGTATTTTCTTTTTCACGCACACTTATCCACGAACTTCGCTATTCGTTTAAAGATGAATTTATCTAAATGCGTTAAATTTCCTAGTAGAAAAAATGAAATTTCAACTTTTCAACATCATTTTTGACAGTTTCATCTAAATTTCTTTTTGCTAAATTAGCTTCAACGATGTAGGAATTAATTTCTGCTGCTCCAGAAAAACACACAAAAAAAATCCTTTCACGAATTCTCCAGCTAACGGTCGTGCGATTTTTACAATTTGCGGGCTCAAAGGCAACTGAATATGAGCTGATGGAATGTTGCATCGTTGCGCATTTGACGCACGTTCATCAATGGGACTTTCTGCGCATTTATGGAATCTCCTTTATCACTCTCGTCCCAACTCTCTCACGATTCGTTTTTCGCAAGCAAAATATTCTAAATCCATCTGATTTCTGTTTAGTTCTCTCATCGTTTGGGTGCGGACTCTCTCTCTTTGTTATTTCCATAAGTATCTTGCTTTCCCGAAAGCGAACATCATTTTCCATTTAAAGCTTCTCACAACTTATTCGTTCTGCTTTTTCTTCAAAAAGATGAGATGAAAAAATTTTTAGGTGTGCCCCTTTCCGAATGGAAAAGAAAAACAATTCTATGGGAATGAAGAGAAAACGGAAAAATATTTGACTACATGAAGAGAAGTGAACAAGCGTTCAAAAGTTTACAAAAATATATTTTGCATCTGACGTCACAAAATTATAAGTAAACAAATGATGTGAACAGGAAGGAAAAGCTTGACTACACTGAAGATATTTGCAAATGATTCTGCAACATTTTTATGCTGATCTATTTTCTGATATTTAACGATTTGAACATGTTTTCCTTTTATTCGTTTTTATGATTCAAAATTTGAGTAAAAGAAAGTTTCATACACAGAGAGAAGAACTTGGAGTTCACAAAAATGTGCTTTGGATGGGCGTGTTAATGATCATACTTTTCAGCACAGATTCCTTTTTTAATGGGAAATTTAATGAACTTTTCATTGTCGGCTTCCCTCGCAATCTCTCGTTCCTTCTTGCCTTTTATTTGCGTCTTCGACATAAACTTAAGCGCGTGTTGTTTTCAACATTTGAACACATTCTACATGACATTAATTCCACGTTCTGACGCATCGTGAAAGTACTTTGGATATGAAACATTAAAAGAAGAGAGAAAAGGGAAATGTTTCGTTTTCATCCCCACCAGAAATTTATGATGTCGAGAGAAAATTTATTACATGATTAATACGAATGGCATGAAACTGCTTTTGTTTTTATTTATTTATTTAATTTTTTTATGCGTCAGAATTGCATTTATAATGTCAGCTTTAGATGAGAATTAATAAATGAGAATAAATGTATTAATATGACAGATGCTGTTCTTTTGGACAGATTAAAAGTGGACGAGGAATTTCCAGCTGCTACTGGCTGAGGTTTGAAAATCATCAAAATGAAGATAACAATAATATGAATTGCACAACAATAACTTAACCTCCACATCGTCTCATCAATCAGTTTACATCGTTAATGAAACATCTTCATAATGAGATTCGAGCATTTCCCAAACAATTGCCCAACAAAAGTACCTTTCACATTCCATATCTCTATCGGAAGACGACACTGAAAGAAGTAAGTGAAATTTTTGGTTCAACAAACTCGAATTGTGAATAATGACTTTCCACATTTTTTTGCTTTCTTTTCGCTTTTATTCGCTAGAATAGGAAAAATAGTTTTTTTTTCTCCAAGTTAACTCCCTCGAATTTTTCTTTACTACTTACATTTGTGAGAATTTTTCTTCTTTTGAATGTGCTTCATTATGACATCTTTATGAACAAAAGCATTATAACTCCATGCTTATGGTGGCAGTCTTTAAAAGCTTTTACAAATCTATGCTGAAGAGTGATTGTAAAGGTGACTTTTTGATAAATTGCTGTATTATCTAATAAGATTTTTCAGCATTTTGATTCTTTCACTTTAGTCAACGAAAAATTCTGGATAAGAAACTCATTTCATCTGTTTCGAAATTTAAAACTTTATTAAAAATAATTCTGTTTAAATAGATCCATTTAAGTAAATATTATAATCCTCTTCATGATTTATTTATTATCAGAAAGTATCAATTTCTGTTTCTAATATTCTGTTTTTCTATCCAAAAAATCAATTTTTAGAATTATATTAAAGACCAAACAAAATAAATTCCAAACAAATATTAAGCAGACGAGAAAACAGAAAATTTAACAAGGAAAAATAAGCAGAAATCTGATATAAATAATGAATAAGAAGAAGGATGAAATAACATTCCATCGGAAGTGAGTATAGCCAAAAATGAAACTGACCAAAAACAAAAGAATATAAAAAGCAAACCAGCGAATTTATCGGATAGAAGACAAAAGGGACACTAACTTTGATCAACATATAAATCTTTGTCCATAAAGCAATAATTTCATGATAACACTTTAACACAATATCTTTCCATGTTTCCAGGGTCATAAACAAAGAATCAAAGCAATAAATAACATAATTTTCTTGTACAATTCAATTAACGTAAAATTAGCATCACATAATCCACAAACGAAAATGTTCTCGGCCCAAGCAAAGCCACCAAACGTTTTGTTGGCCAACCGTGAAATAATTGCCTAAAAGGCAAACATTTCATTGTAAATTCCTATAAAGCAAAGTTGTTTTTAGAATTTCTTCCAACATTAATCTTCATTTTTCCTTTTGCGCTAAAATTGATTTTGATCTTTAAAGTTTTAATTCATTGAGAATCCTCGAGAGACAGTGTGACACATTGGTTTTATTATTAAACATATTCTTAGACACAAACGTAATGCTTCACTTAATGTGAGAAGCAAACTTCCTTCATATTAAGCTTTTATAATTATGGGAAGTTTGTGTCAAAATAATTTTGAAGTTGAGGGTTGACTAAATGGGTTGATGCTAGAAATGTTATCTAGGAAAATTATCAAGAAACGTGGAAATTTGATTATAGAGACATTTAATGCCATGAAAATTTTCTATGTATTTTATTTCTTAAAATTCAAGATTAATGTCCCTCGCAGTCACAAGAAAGACGAGAATCAGGTCGGTTTAAAAAAATTATTTATAGAAGATTGAGTAAGTAGGCGAATAGAAGTTTCGGAAAATATATTGAAATTCCTCCTATTCATGTGGGCGGGAAACGATCGTTATGTTGATATATACTTTTCCTTTTCAATGTCCTAAACTATATTTTAAAGAAAACTAGAACAAAAGAAGCTGAAGAATAAAACTCTTTTACTTATCTACATTTAAATGCAATTCTTTGTTAAGCTTTCATGTGATAAATTTATTTTTAATAAATGGTATAATAATATAAGAAAAAAAGAAGATTGCTTCACATGCTGCTATGAATTTTAATATTAAACAATTAATAAGAATTATGATTCTTTGAGTGGACTTTCTATCGCCTTTTCTCTCGCTTCACCACTTGAAAACATCAACAGCTGAAGTTATTCGATTTGTTAGCTTTAATCTCATAATGATGAACTTTCTATGGTGTTGCTTATGGAAATTTATGACCTGAATTAATGTGCCAGGATCTTTTCAAGAGTCAGAAACTTTATATACATAATTTAATTGACTTTATAATTTTTTAATTTACTTTGCTTTGTGGCTGCTTTGTGATATTTGTCAAACGAGCCAAAGTTAACATCACTGAATTCATGTCAAGCCTGTGAGAGAATTTTCAGAAAATTTCACAAAAGGGCTACGTTAACAAAGCTGTTAGGTCAGGCCAAAAAAAAGGGTTAAAAAGTTTCCTCGTGTCACTTTTGAAAAGCATTTTACTCTAAACACTTTTGTGCTTTGAATTCTAATTCAACGATTGATCTGAATTCACTGCAAACCTTAATTTCAATCCAAAAAGTTAAACCTTTAACACTTTTGAGAGTAAACATACCTCCCCATACACACATATACACACACATTGTTTGGAAATTGTAGTTTATGTTCTCGACACTCAATATAAAATCAGACCCAGGCGCCGCATGAAGAATTCGAAAGTAGGAAAAACTTCCGATGTAAAGCTTTTCATTTGTCGCTTTTGTGGATAAGACGCTGATTATTGTCTTCTTCCACTCGCATAATTTTTATCGCTCTTCGCTTCTTTCTTCCTCGTTTTCCGTTCGCACGAGTCGGAAACCTTCTTCATTTCTTGACTGGGTGTTTGCGTGTGTGTGCCGCATATTTTTTTAACAAACTTTCATCTTTTAATGTTACGTGACTTGAATGCTCTCATCATCGATGAAGATGGAGGGTTCTAAGTTTTCCAACTCATACAATTTCTATTTCAATGTTTTTCTTTCCTTTTCTTTTACTTAGAGCCCGTTTTCTTAGCCTTGCTTCTCAATTCACCCGCTTTCTAACATGCTTGTTATTCATACATTGATGAAAGCGCTCACATCCATTTTGAGAAAATGATATGGTTGATGTTGAATTCTTATCTCGTCATTTAAACGCGTCCTGGAAACTTGCTCGTTGTTTTATGAATTCCACTGTAAATAACTTTGGATAGTCAGCATTGTAAGAAGAGACGAATAAGTTCAACTTTTAGAAGTTTCAATAAACTTTCAAATGCATGTATATCACCACTATTGGTAATTGCATAAATAAATTGCATAGAATTGTTTGTGTTTATCTATTCTCGTTCGTACTCGCCAATAAATAATGTTTTTACTTGGTTATTTAAAGTGCTCGACTGTTTTGCAAGAAGAAAATGTGAATAATTTGCTGAAGCTCAAGAAGCTTTTTATGTAGCCTCAGGGCTTGGGTTTGCTCTTTCAATTTGTACTTAAATACGTCTACGTGTTTATGATGCTCCATAGAATAACCGATCACAGATTAATATTTAAATACTGTAGTAAATTCTCAAGATAACGCTTTAAAGTTTAAACTTTCCATATAAATATTTTCACAAGCTGCAGCTGCTTAAGTAGACAGCATGCATCAAGTACACAGCAGCAGAAAGATATTTGCAATCACCTAATGGAGGTATCTACATGCATTTTTCCTGTTTGTATATTTAGCCTTGGAGCTGTTTGAAGAATAAAAATTGTAAAATACATAAGTTATGTGCTGTTGAGTTTATACATCATAAACCACTGCACTTTGATAAAACATACACAAATGATGCTTTCAATTCTTTCAACATATTTTCAAAAGAGTAAATGATGAAAGAAAACAGATTTAAATTTGATTATAAGTGATTGTAACTAAATATATGAGCGCACCTTGAGGCGAGTTAAAGCTAGTAAGTAATACTGCAGTGTTTCTGAAACCCATTGAAGTTATAAAAATAGTTTTTCATAAGCTTGGTATGCTTCCTCGTTCTTTTTTCAGCTTTATAAATACAAAAATTAGATGCATTAATATTTTTCAATGAAAGCTTTTCAAATATGTGGACTAAGTAATACGAAAAAAATTTTGTTTACTCAGACGAATATTTTACTCTATGAACTATTTTATATAATCTCGTTTGCTTAAAAATATTAATTCATATTATATTTACAGTGGAACTTCTATTAGCCGATACTTCCATAAACCGATAAACCTCTATAAACCGATATTTTTTGTACCCCTTAAATCGAATTTATATTGGAACTGACCTCCAGAAACAGGTTCCTCGATAATCCTATACACCTTGAGCCATCGGCTTATGGAAGTTCCACTGTATTAGTTTTTATTTGTAGATAAAGAACATTATCTGAAAATAAATAATTTCACTTACAAAAGTCAAATAAATGGGAAAGGAAATAAATTATGAAAAGTTTTTATTATGTCGACTTCTTGAAATATAAGAATTGACAATAACTTCCGCATCTAAAGAATCCTCAATTAGCTTAAAGCTCTCTTCACTCAATAATGTTTTATTTCATTTAAGGAATTTCTAAATTTGTCGTTGTCATGGAAAATTGAAAACTCAGATTCCTAACAAAATCCTCCCATACTACTTAATCTCTGCCAAATAAGATTTAATCTTCTAATTTATATTGTATTCATTCTTTCTCTCAATCTATCGCACAATTTAGCTTGCAGTATGTGTTTTTGGAAAAGAAAGAAAAAGGGCAAATGATGATTAAGCAAGATAAGGGCTATAAATGTGAAAGAAAAGGGAAAAAATGGAAGAGGCATGGGGAAAATTTTATGTTTATAGCTTTTTTAAATGATTGTTGTAAAACGCAGATTTGTCATATTGAGACTTCCATAATAGTATGCTGCTGTCCTAGATTCATTCATTCAAACAAATCATTGGATCTTGATGTAGAAGTGAAAAAATATAATGAGAAAGAAAATCTTTCATTAACAGCATTCTAATCAATTTCGAATCGAAATATCCATCAGACATCTTAGAGACGCGATAGAGAGAATAAAAGGACGGAGATTGGCGAAGACAATAAATTAAGGAATATAAAAGCAGTAGAAAGAAGGAAGTCTGTAGCCGACAATATAATTTATTGTTGTACGTGGCCAGTTTTACTTTAATGAAATTTATGTTTCGCAAGCACACAAAACTAAGATAGTCGAATGTGAAAGCATCTATCAGATCTAGACTCGTTCCATGTCGAATACAACTCTATGTGAAAAGTTCTGCTTCCCTTGCTATCCTCGGCTAGCTATAAATATTTTTTTTTGATTCGAGATTCATTGTGCTTAAAGCTTGACCGATTTTGAAGCTTCTTTTTCTTGACTCAAGGGTCTCAGGAGGGGAAAATAAATGAAATAATTTATCGCAATATTTCATGCAAATCCATTACTTCATCAGACATTGTAAGATTGAGGTTGCTTAAATTGAGATTTTTATTTTCGTTTAAAATGGGAATTTTGAAGCTCATGTTAATAAATCTACTGCTGCGTTAGTGCTGAAGAAATCTCATGCATATTAATCAAACAAGCCTTTTGAAGGAGAATCAGGGGAAGCAGAAGATTCCTCAAGGTTTTTTGAATAATTGTAAGATTAAGTTCTTTGAAAAGAAGAAAGCTATCTGACATGAAAAAAATAATAAAGGAAAGAAATATTCATATATGAGTGAGTGAGTGAATCTAAATACAATACGAGAACAGAATTCATAAGAGGATGTGCTATCTTGTTACTATTTATTGGCCGATCAATGATAATTAAAAAGCAATTCCAAATACAAAGGAAGTTTCAAATTAATTTTGATGAATTATATATTAAGGACTTGAATGACATGATATCTTTGACAATTTTACATTTCATTCCAAGTTTGAATTAAAATGAATTACTTTTTGACTGATTCTTTGCCCTTGAGACCCTTCTCATCCGAAGAGAAAAATGTCATCAAGAAATCTTTCCCTCAAAGCATGACTCCGAAAGCTTTTCCACTCACTGAAACATTCGTTAGAAAACATTTCCCAAAGAAAATATTGTTGGTTTTAAAGCAAATGATGTTTCCTTCTGTTCAGTCAGAAAAGAAACTTTATTCATTCTTTTTAGACAGAACACCTTTTCCGCTTCGATAATTTTCCACTCAAAAGGGACCCACGAGGGAACATCAGAAAGCATCTCGATCAACGAAATCAATAAATTTTAACATGAAGATTTTTGTCATCCTAAGTCCGTTCGTTGAAGTGAACAAATATTGCTTTTATGATCGATATGAAAATTTAGGGTCACTTAAAGTCGCTCACATGTTGAATTATCTTGATTTCTCTGTTGTCATGCTTTACAAATGTTTGTTTCTTGACTCCATCGATTAATCATTCCTTAGTTGGTCCTGTTTTATATGCGTTCATTTTAAAGTTTAAGCTCATGAAAATCACCTGAAGAATGACAAAGATTGCTGAATATTTCAACAGTTTTAAGAAAACTTTATTCAAGATGTGTTTGCTGGTGTGATTATATGCTGGAGCCCTGTCGAATACAATTTTTGCGTCAGGTGGGGTTATGAATATTCATAGTGTGATGAATAATAATGTGTTTGTTTATTAACTTTGACTTTCATAAAGGCCTCTGGTACTGTAAGTAATTTTCTTAAAAAAATCATTGGTGTAGATAACAGAAGGTGATCAACACGAAGTTAAATTCCTTTGAGTCACAAAATTCACTTCTCTTCAAACAATGAACTACTTGGGGTTATAAATATACGCTGATTTAAAACGACACATGTCTCAATTTCTTAAGTTTATTAATTTTTGAAATTCTAATTAGAATAATAATGGAAATATGATAATAACTTAATTATCTCAAACAAAGAAAAAGATCCTTGAACTGTTTTGATTAAAAGTTTATTAGCTTGCTGAAAATGAAAACAAATTGCTAGATTATTTATAAATTATGTATTTATATTGAATAATATTTGAAGTACGATAGATAAGTACCATGTAATAAAGGAACGATTGAACACGGAATTGTTCTTATCATTCCGGTTTCATTTTCAGTTGTTTTCCACTACAACACATTTCCTCAAACATAATTTCCCTCCTTCAACAATACAGCATAAATATATGTATAGTGTATGTATATAGACGAAGAGGAAAAGCATTCACTCGAACATAAATTCTCATTACCGAATAGGAAATTTGTCGAACAAGAAGAAAAATGACTGCTAATATGTGATCGTTTCGAATAATGTTGAACATCACATTGGATAGAAATGCGGAATCGCAAATTAAGCATTTGAACAACGTTTTGTGGGCGGCAGAAAGCAAACACAATTTCGTATACATTTCTCTGATACTCCTCAAACTATGATAAAAGCAGTTAATGAGAAATTTCATTTGAAGTTAAATAACTGCTTCATCATAGATTTCAGATAAAATTCGTTTAATTCTTTTGTTGTTGCTGTTGTATCACAATCATGATCATTGTCATCATAGTCGTCATTATTATCATGTTTCTCACATTGTTTCATTTTTTTCCTTCTTTCTTTCGCATCAATTTTCATTTCATCACAGTTCATGAGAAAAACGACCGAGCATTACTCGACACATATTCCTAATTATACAACAAGAGCAGGAAAAAGAAATAATAGAAAATGAAAAGAATTCAGAAAAGAGAAAAATCGTTAATCGGATTTTCCGCTCGTAGACCATTCTCATTAAATTCCATTATTCGTTTAAAGCTCTAAAGTACGATAGATAAAAGCTAGATTGCTAGACAAAAGTCTGATCTTTTCAATTAATTCCGTAGTCTGAGTTGTAGCTTTTGAAATGCCCTCGACATATTTCGTTCCCTGAAGATATTCAATATACAAAAAAAAATACAATTTTTTACTTTCAAATTTTTGTTTTAAGCGCAAACCAAGATGTCAAGGATTTCCGTCCACGTTATCGTGGAGAAAATTTATCTTCCCTCGACTCTACCGTACCGCGTCTGCTCAAGCTCACATCAACGCTTTCCGCACATTACAAGAAATAAAGAAAAGCAATTCAAAGGGGAATGGCCAGGAAGAGAAGGAAAAAGGAAGAAGGGAAGAAAGAATAACAAATAGAATTTATTGTAATGTCATGAAAATTGATATTAAGATGATGCCATAGAAACAACAATTTATAACCGAAAAACATTCACTGAGAGCAATTTCGTCATCCCTAAAATTAGAGAACAACGCTCAAATATTTATAAGAAAACTTCTAACATTCTTCAAGAATTCTGTTTAAGACTACAACTTTTCATTTCATCTTTTTGTTTATTTAACAATGAAGTTTAATGACGAGAAAAAATTAAAATCAACTTAAATATCTTTGTGTGTATGCATACTTTATAGCATAATCTCTCAAATTGACAATACAACATGTACACTAACATAGATTATATTCTCACATTCACGTATCCATCCCATTCTTGGCTTTACTGAAATAATTAAAAGTTTCACTCTCATCTACTACTTTGTTATAATGTGTTTGAAATTCTGTCTTTACATGTTAGTAACACATCTCCATTGCCGAAATTAATTACATGATAGAAAACACCAAATTGAGAAATTTAAATCCCCCAACAGCAATAAATCAGAAAGTAGAGCCTTCTAAAAGCTTCGTCAGACGTGACTCAAAAGAATGTGTTCGCCTTCAAATTTAGTTCATTATTCAATGTAAGATGCTGCAGAGTTTCAATTCTGTGATTTTGAAACCACGAAATTAAAATTATTTGAGCTGTGACAGGATCGCGATCGCTGCGTGAAATATTTCTCAAATAAATTCTTTCATAAAGCAAAAACTTTCGTACGACTTAATCTGATGAAATCAGCATCTTAATGGTGAAAACGAGTATCGACTCAACATGCTTATGAAAAGAAGAAAAAAGAAATGTTTCGCAGAACATTGAAAAACATTAATTACATTCAAAGCTTTTGGCAGCATGAATAGCAAAAAAAGTCTTAATTGCTTTTCACTGTTTTTCTTGTTTATTAATTATTTCGAGATTCAGTTCGTTAGTTCTCGAAAATACTTTTGATGTTTAAAGTACCCAATCATTGATAAATCTGGCATTTCGAAGTAGATAAATATTTATTATCACATAGTGGAGTCAAATAATGACTTTGACAGGTATTCCAATTTAAAGACTATTTACTTACATTACCCAACGATAGTGATGTGAAATGTTTGAATTTGACAATTGCTAAATAAATTCTCTGACTTGTTGACTTAAAGATTATTTATGTAGCTTTAAGAAATGATTATCAGATTTTCGATTTACAATTTCAACACATGTATTGCGATTTAATTGGTCAACATGGAGTCATATGAGTGCTTCAAACCGCAGAATTGTTCAAAACTGTACAACATCTCAAAAACATCACCTTGCCTTACTCTGCACAAATATTGTTTTACAAACACAACCAAAGTAAGTCTTTAATTAATGATTATCTTACGTTGAACGAAAATGAAAATCAAACTCAAATCAGTTTCAGTAAAGTTTTCGACTCAAGCGGATCAAAGCGGAGGAAAAAGAAAATCACGAACGAAGTGGATTTGCTTTAAGAATTTTAAGAAAATGAAGAAAGATTTTTCTTTAAAATTGATTCTTCTCTTGGGTCTTGTTAATGCAATAAATGGTGACTCAAGAACCCGAGTTGTGTGCTATTATGATACGAGAAGTTCATCAAAGACCGGTAAGATTAATTGACAAAGCACCATCAGTTTTAAGCTTAGCTTTGCTAAGGTAGACAAGAGTGTCTAAATTTTATCTCGTGGTGTCATTTCCTAAAGAAAATATCAGCGTTTTATTTTTTAATTAAATGCTCCTGAGAAAAGTAAGTAAAGATACCCAAGTGCTTTACTTTAATCTAGTTCTCATTTCTGCTAGAGATGAGAAAATGGCTTTTTAAGAAGCGACCAAATTACGTTGAACTTTCTACTGATAACATTTCAACTCAACCTTTTGTCCACTATGCACAATCACGTTCGATTAATGTTGTCAGACATCAGACTGTTTTGTCAGAAATTTATTACGTTAGAATATTTTAGCTTAAATAGAACAGTAAAATACTCTTTTCTTGCAAATAATGTTATACTATTAAATGTAACATTGGAACATATTTCACGCTTGTCATGTGAGTTATAAGCATCGTTCAAGGTCAAGATGCATAGCCAATTTATAAGTCAGCATTTCACACAGCTTGTTCATGTAACTTTTGTGTGAAATAATAATAAAAATAAACAAGAAAAGCTTTAAATGTAATATTGACTAGTAAACAATTGAAATTCAAAGCGCTTTTATATTAAAGTACTTTTATTTGTTAAATCTTGTGATGGAGAATATTCGATTTTTCCCTTGAATGAATTTACTAGTAGAGGGAAAGTTTTATAGCTTAAACTTTTTTGTTTTCATCGCAGTTTCTTATTTTTTTCTTTTTTTAAGGTCTTGGGAAAGTAATGCCGGTTGATATTGAACCGGCACTTTCATCTTGCACTCACTTGGTTTATGGATATGCTGGATTGGATGCGACTACTTTTAAAATCGCTCCATTAAGAACTAATGAAGAATTGGATAAAACTAACGGCCTTTACAAGCAAATCACTTCGCTAAAAACCAAATATCCGAATCTTAAGATATTGCTGAGTGTGGGAGGAGATGCTGACGTAGACCCAGAAAATGAAAAATTATTCTACGAAAAATATTTAGCACTTCTTGAATCGAGTACTGGAAAAATTGCCTTCACTAACAGCGTCATCTTAATCCTCCAGGATTATGGTTTTGACGGCTTAGATCTTGCATTTCAATTCCCCAAAATGAAGCCAAAAAAGATTCGTTCAAGTGTTGGTTCTGTATGGCATTCATTTAAAAAGACTATTGGTGTGGCTGGCAAACCAGTAGATGAAAACTCTGAACAACATAAAGATCAATTTACGGGCTTGGTTGTAGAGTTGAAGAATTCTTTCCGTTTGGAAAAATACGAACTTTCTGTTACTGTCCTTCCCAATGTCAATGCGACTCTTTACTTGGATGTTCAATCTATCAAAAATTATGTGGACTTTATAACTATGGCAGCTTTCGATGTTGTTACCCCGATTCGTAATCCCAAAGAAGCCGATTATCCTGCACCAACACTTTCCGTTAGTGATCGCAATACTGAAGAGAATGTTGATGCGTGGGCAGCATTTTTAGTTTCTGGTGGTCTTCCTTCATATCGAGTTGTAATCGGTGTGCCATCGTATGGTCGTGCTTGGAAAATTGAAGCTGATGCAACTGTGACAGGTTCACCTCCAGTACAAGCCGATGGTCCAGCGCCTGAAGGCGTTCAGACAAGAACTGCTGGTTTGTTCAGTTACACTGAAATGTGCGATAAGATTTTGAACACACGAAATAAAGATTTGAAAGGTGAATACGCACCTTTGAGAAAAATTGCAGATCCTACGAAACGTTACGGAATATATGCTTTCCGTTTGCCTGACGAAAATGGTGATTATGGAATGTGGGTTGGATATGAAGATCCTGAATCAGCCGGAAACAAAGCCGCATTCGTTCGTGGCAAAGGATTTGGTGGAATTGCTTTGTTTGATTTGTCACTCGATGATGTCAAAGGTGCATGTCATGGTACAAAGTTTCCAATCTTAGAGCGAATCAAAAATAAATTCAACTGAAAATTTAATCATGATGTGTCAAAAACAATGAAAACCATGAAACCAATAAAGTTTAGTTTCTGATGCTAACAAAAATAATTTTTTTTTGAATAAAATTTATCAGAAAAAATATCTCTAAACATCGTTTACACAACAGTCTTAGCAAGTCAATGATGAATGCACCAAATGTGTTCATTATTTGCCAATCAAAATCATCATGAATATATTTTTTCTTCAATTTCAGCAAAAATTATGAAAGTTGTTCACGACTGCGAATGAATAGCCTAACAGTCAATTTACAGTATACTTCGTGGAGAAAGGAAAAAGTTTCAACATAAAATTTTATTGCATTGTTTATAGAGTTTGTCATGTTATGGATTAAAGACGGGAATGGAAACCATATTGTATCATATGCAACGCAGCGGAAACTGTAATCTCAAATAGTCAGTCAAAAAGAGAAACGAACGATTTTACGATTCAACAAACGCTACTGTGATTATTTTTACTCAGTGACAAACATTATTTAATATGCCAAAGCATGGAAGTGATATATTTTATTGTTGATTGATATGGAATAAATTGAGGGAAATTTTGCAGACAATGTGTCAGTGATGCGACAATCTTGAAGATAATATTAAACGCCTTCATTAAGATTACAAAAGATTGTATGATGATAATAAGAAACTAAAGCAATCTGAATAATTAATTGTATCTAATAAAAATTTTTATTACAAATCTCTGTGAAGAGAAAAGGAAGAGAGAGAGAGAGAAGGAGACAAAGATGATTCGTCGACATCACTTCTCCTCAAGATGTATCTTTCTCATGATTATCAAATGTTATCACAATTAAAAAACACTTTTGCTCAATTTTCAGACATTAAACCACCCCATTCGGATTATTTTGTTTTCCTTCTAACCGCCTTTCTGGATTCTTTAAAAGTGCTTTTCTTAGGGATTGCACGACAAACAAGCGTTTCCCTCATCAAATTATCTCGCAAGAGAAGACATTTTTTCGTGATCCCTACCCGTGTCTATGCAATCATATGAACGTAGTCTTAAAATAATAATGAAATCATAAAAAATGTTTACGATCCCGTCCCAAATTATTGTTATTAAATGTGAGACGTATTTTCTGTTCCCTATCCTAGGCCCAACTTAACAGTCAAAAGTTGCTTCTTTCAATGTTGTGCATGAGTCTCTTCTTTCTCCACCCTAAACTTTATGTCATTCTTGCCTCTTATTCTTTCTTTTTTCATCTCATGGCCTGTATACGACATAAATATCTCCCATGGAAAATCAAATGACGAAGAAGAAAAGTTTTACTTGAAAAGACATAAAATTTGGGTCTATTATTAAATTGTGCTTTCTTGAGATTTTTTCTTCATCTCTGGCCTAAGTTTTGATGAGATGAACACGAGTACTTAAACTGAATGAGTTCCACAATATGAGAGAGAATCAGAGATTTTTTTTTGTGAACTTGTGAACGTTAATCAACTCGACCAAATTTTTACTGCCGTTTTGTTGGTTTACAAACTTTCAACTTTCTTCATAAAGAAGTTGAAAAGAAATGTTTTTATTTTAATAACAGTAATTCAAGTCTCGTGTGGTTTTTGTAAACAGTTCGCATAGCATTGAGGAAAGTACTTTTATATCATCTCCTGCCAGTGCCTGGTTTTACCTGGCACATAAAGCACATAAAAGTGATGCATTAGAATATAAAACCATTAAAACGACTTCGTGTTATGATGTTGTGAGCATTAAACTATGCATACAAAAGATCTTAATGGCAACATTAACAAATTGTTTATAATTTACTAGATATTTTTTTGTTTTCTTGTCAAATAAAATTATGTTAAGAAGATTAGAATATGAATAACGACTTTTCTAAATATAACAGTAAGAAGACGCTTTTTTCTCGTGAAAATATTAAATATTCAGCAATGAAGAAATAACGGCTCAATATTTCCTCACAGAAATTGTCCAAATCAATGGAAGGTTCATTCATTTTACTTTTACATTTAAGTAACTTAAAAATAGAAACAAATTATTTTCACTAAGAATAAAGGTATAGAACATTAAGCCGGCATCTCCGTGAATGGAAAAAACAAGAAATTCTCTTCTAACCATCTCTATAGAAAAGAAAATTTTATTTATTTTTTTTTTGTAACCTGCTCCAATAAATTTGTTTGAGTTGCCTTGGCTTTCGTAATGATGTTTTTCCAAAACTTGATACAATATTTATAAAAGGTTTACTAGGAAAATTGTTTCATTAACCAATGTAACAGTTAAAGAAATCATACAAAGGCAAATATTTACTTCATCATATTATTAGTATGAAAAGCTTCAGCATATGAATCATGATGATTGAGTCGTGTAATTTTGAAAATCAACAGTAAAAGTCGCTACAAAGTTATGAAAAATTTAATTTTCAATTTCTCAAGCTTCAAAGAAAAGAAAAATCTGAAAAGCGAAATTTATTGACTTTACAACATCGCTTTGTATAACTGGCGGGAGTAAAAGACTACAGAAAAGAATCTAGAAGAAAGCTACAACAATAAATCTCGATTGTCTTGCAAGGAACATAAAGAATTTCACTGCTTTTCTTTTCTGAACTTTAAAAATTAAAGTGAAGATATTTCAACACTAGAGTCAAGAGTTTTGCGACATATTGTGCAACATTCAATTCATAATTTTTTCATGAATGCTATCAGTTTTGGCAGAAATTATTGGAAAGTTTTACAAATTTGCACTCGCTTATTGCAGTAAAAACGGCAGGAGCTGTTCAACATCGATTGATTCTGCAATTTTTTATTGTAGACCCTCTTAAAACAGAAATTTTAGTAACGTGGAAGCAGAATTTATTCTATGAATAATTTAACCTCGCTCTCTTTTTACATGTTACAAAATTTATGCTTGAAAGCATCATCTGATCCAATTTTTGAAAAGTGGCGGATCTCCTTAATGGATTTCCATTTTATTTTTGCTTAAAACTGTTGGGGCGTTTTATAAATTTTTTAGCCAAACAGTGTTGAGTTATTTTTTGATCTTTATTTAAGGGAAAAATTTGTTCCAGTTCATTAGAATGTGATGAGAGTGAAAACTTCATTTCCTTTAATTTATAAAATGCTGACTTGAAATATTTTGGTTTTTAATAATTTTACAGGAGTTATCTTTGATGCTTTACCAAAAACTGGGCACTTAATTTTTATCTGACCCTTTCATTTATGAGTTACCTAATGAGTTTCTCAAATTTCTTTTGCAGATTTTAATTTTAAGAGCTTTTAATCTTGATTTATGAAAACAAGATTAAATGTTGAACGAAAACACCTTTCCAACCTAATTAAACACATAAAACCAAAAGTGTTTGATTCAACTTTCGAGTCAAAAGAAAACAAAACAAAACCACAAGGAAAAATACAGAACACGCTTCTTGCTCTTGATGCAATAATGAACAATGTTTGATGAGTAAAAACTTTTTGTGAATAAATTGAGCTGATGTTTTGAAAAAATTTTCGTAATCAGTAAATTATGCAACATAAAAGATGCTTCGCAACGTGAAATTTATTCACAACTTTAAGTAAGCTCAGTGAAATTTAAAATTTCCCTAAAGCGAGGCGACATTATAATTAGAAAGTTTGCAAACCAACTAGATAGTTTCAACCAAGAAACAATTTTTCTTTGATGTAGATTAACGTTATAATGCCATAAACATGTCAGATGTTTTATTTAACTTTGTTTTATAAAGCAATGTTCAGAAAATTTTCATATTTCGGGTGAGTGAACTAGCAAAGTTTTATAGTTGAATTAAACTGTCGTTGCAATGAGAAAGTTAAACTATTCTGCAATTATTTTTCATAGAATAAATAATTAAAAAGCCAGTCGTTTGAAAGAACTCGAAAGAAATTGATTATCCATCATTAAAAATTTCTTTTCAATTCTTTTGAACTTTTTATTATTCAATTTTATAGTTTCATTAAAAAAATATTCAATACTTTAATGAAAATATTTCTGAAAACTTTTCTTTAAATATCTTTGAGCTTTGTGAACGATGGAAAGTGCATATTTTTAATATAAGTATGCATGTCTTAATTAAACTTAGAGAATGCAAGTGTAACAAAAAAGCTTGTTTAAAGCATTTCTTTTTTAAATACATGTCATCACATTTCTTAGTTGGAATGCATTTAAAATAATATAAACTTTTGTATAAAGTTCAAGAATCTTGGTTGAGTAAGTTTCGTAACCTTCTTAAACTTTTAAGATTCTTTAACATTTTAAAATAAAATATGCAAAATGTGTTCGGAATTTATATTTAAAAATTAAATAAAAAGTAAGTTTGTTTTTATGATTTCAAGTATTCATTGCATAAGTTTTATGTTATGTTTAAAACTTAAGATATTTAATTTTAATTTCAATATATTTTACAACGAATCTCTGACAAGATATCAACATATCAACTAGAATTTTAAAATCGAAGAAGTTTTTAAAGTGACACGTGTCAAATTACATGACTACATTTAGAGCTTCAATTGAAAACAAACGAAAGCTTTCAAATGGCATGAGTTACAGTTTAAGTTGAATAACTTGAGCATAAATTTTGTCATCAAATGCGAAACTCTGAGAAATGAAAAAAATTAAATTTCCGAACAAAAAGTTTTTTGTTTTTTATTAATCTCAAGTACCAACATAAATATAATTTAAATATATAAATAAGTTTTGTTTATTCTTTGGTAAGAAAACTTTAACGTAGCTGAAGAAAACTGGAAAACATACTTAAAATTTAAAAGCCACACGAGATCATAAGTTCCATAGAAGAAAATCATGAAAATTCTTCAAATTTCGCAAGTTTTTGTAACATGTTTTTGTGGCAAAGAAAACTGCGAGTTTGAATTAAAAGTTAGAAATTTTAATAGAAGAATTTCAAATATAAGTTTACGCGTACAAATAAAGTTTTACTTGTGTAAAAACAAACTTTTTATACAATGTTACTCTTTTAATTAGTTTAGTCATTGAAGTTAAAGTTTAAAGTGATGTCGTGAGTAATCTCGACGATCTGCTTAAATTGGAAAATTTATAAACTCGTAAATGTGAATTACTGATCTTTGGGTTAAAAGAAATCTCAATTCACGTTCAGTATGTTGATTTCATTCGGGTGAAAGATTAAAAAAACTTTTATCTTAATTCTACCATATGTTATTGAATCCCTTTTTTTATCAGCAAACCAATCATTTTCCTTACTTATATTATCAAAGATTGCGTGTCTTTTTTTACAGTTTCATTTTACTTGTTAGATTTTAAAATTGTTAAAGGATTGGAGATTGGTTTTTCTTTGCTTTTCTTACATCATTTTTTCATCTCTCTTAAATATCAATCAAAAGCTTCTTAAATATATTTTTTACTCAAAAGCTTTTGTTTTTTTTTCTCCGATAACATAAACATCAAGATAATTTTTTCTCGTCTATCGTTTCACATGTTTTTAATGTCGAAAAAAAAGCAAAGAAGAGAAAAAAATATCTTAACATTATTCATCGAGTCAAGATGGAAAGAAAAGAAGAAAAAGCGAGTAAAAACACACCCAAAGATAAAGAAGTTGATTTTCTATCCTTGCTTTAAGAAATCATGGAACTTTTTTCATCCTTTCTGGTTCATGGGATTCTGTTTCCAGTTTATGGTTTGACGAGAGAGTTTTCCATTTAGCTCGGGGTTTTCTTTCAAAATGGATCATGCGCCAAGAACAAAATCGATTTATTGCTATAGCGAGAGACTTCTACCACTCATCAAAGTTTTCTTTCCTTCTCTCGGAGAAAAATTTACTTGGCGCTTTTCATGAAAATGACGATGGAATGGAAAGTTGAGTAGAGATATTCTCAGCGAGATGAATCGAGACAGTAGCACTGTCTGTCGGCAGGAAACGACAACAACATATTTCTTGTTCATTCTAGGAAAATTTTGTTAATGTGTGGAACTCCGAATTGTTGAGAAAATTTCTTATCAGTGAAAAAGGTTAATCATAAATAATAAAACTATGGAGAACTTGAAATTTAAGACTTAAGGCTACTGTTGATAACTCTCTTTCTAAATAAATTGTAGCCAGTGGAATTGATTAAAAAAAAGTTTTGAAAATTGGAAGAATCTCTGTGTTTGTGTTAGTGTGTAGAAACACTTCTTGTGTTGATTGCCAATTTCAAAATGCATTTGAAACAATTTTTGATAAGAAACTCTCTTAAGTGGGTGATAATTGTATCACTTTTGACTATTGCTCAAGCTAATCCCGATGCAAAAAGACTCTACGATGATCTGTTAAGTAATTACAATCGATTGATACGTCCGGTAAGCAACAATACTGACACTGTGCTAGTTAAGCTCGGCTTAAGACTTTCTCAGTTGATTGATTTGGTAAGTAAGAAGCACAAACTTCTTTTATCGAAAGTGAACTTTAGTTTACGCGAATTGTATCGTATTAATCTCGTTCGTACGATGAATATGAGTTAAAAGAGTTGGAAACCTCAACATGATATCACACGCTGTTTCTATATAATGCACAACAATGTTGTTCATTGAATGTCATCACGCTGTTTACTAAATTCTAAAAACATGTAATCTCGGTAAACTTAGTCGTAGTAGCATTGAAATTTTATAATGTTTATTTTTTTCGTCTTCCCTTCCCACATTTTATAATCATTTACAACGAAGAAACTGAAAAGAAAAACCATTCTAAATTTTTAATAGTACAAGTTGAAAATAGATACAAACTTCTTTGTTGTTTGTTGTAAATCAACAAGTACAATGAATCGCAAACTCCCCCGCTTTTTCAGGACTCAAAATATTTAATACTTTCAGGAGGTTGTCATTGAAGTGTGAGTAATTTTTAGATGGAAGGGGACTTTTATGAAACACGTTTCAATAATTCAATTCATTCTAAAATTGAAAAGGAGATGATTATTGTAGCACCCTGTGAAGTTTTATAAACGTCACAAACAAGATTGTGAAAAGGCTTGGAATAAAATCACTTTTTCTATTAGACGAAAGGCTGAAATTGAACTCGTGTAGCTTCATATTCTTTCTAAAAACTAAGCTCTTTTGAACTTTTATAACGCTTGGATGAGTATATTTATTGATTATTTAAACAACTTAGAGATAATGGAAATGATCCTTGAAATTTAATTAAGATTTCACTCAACAATATTCAACCACAACCAACCACAATAATTTAAATCAGAATAATGATTGTCGCATATTTAATGTTGTCAAATTTTCAGCAAATTTTATGTATTTGATTTTCTCAATTGTGCTTGCCAACACTCAATTGTATACGAGCTTTGGAATGCCTTGAACGCTGCAAAAATGTTACTCTTCGCAATAATTCAAACTTCTGTGGTTATGTTTTTCTCTGGAATTTCGCCAGAATATTCCGAATGAATTCCTTTTGTAATGTTATTTAAAACAATGCGAAATTCCTTTTAAGGCTTCGACTCTTACAAAACTGATTCCTTTAACTGGCGCAATAAATAAGTTAAACTGTTATGGACTTTAAAAAAAACTGTGCAACAAAAACTTGCATAAATCTTTTGCTGTGGTAAAATTTTCAGTATATAAGAAGCAAGCATACAATTTATATTTCAGTTTTTCACTCTTGATAACATCTATGGACAGCTTCTCAAAGTG